GCATGTCGCACGGATCGGAGTATGCTCTTGGCCTGCCAGGGGACTCATCGAAGTCGCCCGACTGGAGATTGACTCGCCCCAGGTTTTTGAACCTGGCAGCAGCGTCTCCAGTGAGATTCGCCTTCGTGGAGAAGGTCAGTGCCTCGTTAACGAGGAAACTCGAAATATTACCCTTGCCTTCTTGTGTCCGTCTTTCCTGGTCAGCTCTCTTTTGTTCTGCACGGTCTTCTATGAAGTTGAAGCTGGACGAAGAGGCTGCGGAGGAGTTAGGATCTCCGTACTTCATCCCCTTCTTACCGCCAAAACTCTTTCCAGAGTCAGAATGTGTTGGAGTACCAATGGCAAAAGCGCCGGTCTCTCTGAGTACATCTCGCTGATTTTCAGTTTGTTTTAGGCGGGCAAACATCATTTGCTGACTCTTGAGTGCCTCGTGTAGTGCTCTTGTTTGTTCTTCCGCTCTTTTGGCACCCGCTTCACGCTCTGCTTTCATCTGTTCGAAGAACATCTTTTGTTGTTCAGCATTTTGTCTTGCCATCTCTTGAGCCTGCTTAACAGCAGCTTCGGATTGAGCACTCATAGCTTGCTTTTGAGCCTCCATTGCTGCCTCTTGCGCGTGCATTTTCCGTTGAATATCTAACGCGAAGTTTCTCATCTCGGTATTAGTGTTTTCGTCCAGACCGGTAAAAACTTGTGTGAGGTTGTTGTTCTGTTGTGTCTGGTTTAGGTTGTTCTGTTGCGCGTTCAAATTTTGGCTCAGTTGACTGTTGTCTGTAACGTGATTATATTCGAAAGAGACGCTGTTCTGCTGTAGTTGTGTGGCTGCCGGTTGTGACTGTCCACTCGGAGGCAGGAGCGGGCTCAGGGCTGGTGGTGGCGTCATGCTATGTTGCATAGTGCTCCCGTTGGCGGGCGTTTGATATCCCTGTCCGCCACTCCCGGTTGACATATCCGTGTCAGAAGTTGACATCGTCTTACTATAGCAGATAACGCTCCGAATACGAATGACAGTAAGCAAAATATTGATCATTTCTATGATTGATTATAATTCGCTGGATCATATTTGATTATAATTCTTTCTTCTTCGCGTTCTTAGAAAACCATAAACCTTAAAATACTGGAGCAAACACTTAGGACTTTTAGTCCTTCCATGGTATCAACTCCCACGCTCGCTCCCCTCAGGACAGAGGTCTTCCTCGGCTTCTTCTCTCAACCGAGGTAAAAACCCGTCTACCTGCGTGTAGGCCGTCATAATGACCTCAAGAATAATTCTTCTTCGCTCCTAACACAAACTTTCTGGGCGTAGTTCTTATTGATCCTTTTGCGAGCACTCACTTTTGTGTCCGCTTTGCTCTCTTGATTCTCTTTTGGACACCCTTTTTTTTTTTTTTTAAATATATATATAAATGGGGCATGAGCTTTAAAACTTTGTTTGAGTTTTCAAATACCGGGGGGGGGTTTACAATGTTCGAGCCTTTGATGAGGGTTGCAGGTTCGTGTAAAAGAACTAATGAGTGATGAGTAAAACAAAATGTAACTCTTGCAGGGTTGTTTTCAGTAAAGACTACGTCCGACTTTATTTCGGCGAAACCTTCTAGCTCTCCTTCTTGCTTCAATCACTAGATTCATCTCGAACTTCTTATCTGCTTTTTCTTGTTCTCTTGCTTGCTTTCTCTTTTCCCGTCTGTTTAGTTGTTCTCGTGTTTCGTCACGATTTTCTTCCTCGCGTACTAGTAGTGCTACGTCGTCTATATATACAACAAATTCCTCGACGAAATCTTGCTCGATCTGTATAAACGCTTGGCTCAGGTCTCCAAAAATAAAAGCGTCGTCGTACTGTAGGTTTCGCAGTGCTCCAATCATATTCTCTTCGTAATTCGTCATGTTGATGCTTCGGGATTGGTAGTTTTCCTCCAGGAGTGAGGATATACCGGCACGACAGATGTTTAGCACGTTTTCTTCATACTTTTGCTAAACTTTCTAGTTTCCTCGCGTTATTTCTCTCTTTTCTAAATATTGTATACCTTGTGTTGAAATATGCTCGATCGTTTCGTATTCGTGCGCTGTGCTAGCCTTATTCACTTTTCATATCCAGACTGCACAGAGCCGTTTAATTCGGTTGTCTCCTCTAACCTAGACATTCTTCGGACACGTCCCACCTTATAGGCTTAGGTATCCTTGGAATAGATCATACTTCTCTTCACTCCCTCCAATCTTTTTCCTTAGAGGTTCGCGTTTTCGAACTCTCTGAGAGCCCAGCTTCGGCCCTTCGAGAACAGTTTAAGTGTTCCCTTGAGTTCCTCCTTATATGCCACTGCGATCTTCACTGCAAGTGTTGCTGGCGTCTGTAGATGGCTGTGAAATTGTGCCGATTGGTAAAGTGATAGGTGTATAGTCAACATGAAGACCTTTCGGTTCTGCTCCTTCCTGTTTCTAGCATCGTAGTCGGTTGGAATTCCAAGTTTCCTCTGTGTAGTGACATTGATATGGTGGCACCTTTCTTGCCCGTGGTTATCGGTGTATTGTATTTTCCAGGGCCGTCCTTCGTGTCGCTTGTCCTTGGATCCTCCGTAGTTGACCATATCTTCGATGACGAGGTCGTCAGATAGATACGCATATGCCATCATGATGATCCTCTTTACTAGTGGAAACTCTGGTGGTGTTATCTTCCCTAGTAAGTTCTCATTGCACCAGCCGCATACTCCACCAATCAGAGCCGCAACTTGTTTTGAGTTGTAGTTTTGCTGTTTGTAAATATCCTTTACAATGTGTTGCGACTCTCTTCCGATCATCTTTAGAGCACCGGAGCAGGTTGTCCCCTGCTTCAAACAGTATTTGTTCTGGTGCGAGTCGAAGATGTGAACTCCCTCAATTATCTGTCTGATTTCACCGCAAATAACATCAATATCGCCGCCAAATCCCCACTTTCCGTAGAATGTCCGTTTCATATGTTCGGAGTATTCGGAGTGTTCGATCAGAGTTCTTGCATCGTCTGATAGCATTGCGGCGGCAACGTAGAAGGTTTCAGCTGTTGTAAGTTGACTCGGGTTATCGACGAATTTCTTTACAATCCGCTGGAATTCAGTCCGCTTTAGTTTATCTCCCCACTGTTCGTTAACGGTTTGTGTGCCAGATGCGTAACTCATCGGCCCGGGCTGAAAGCTACTGGCTTTCTTTCTTGGTGCCGGCGGCGCTAAAATACCACTGACTTCTCTCATGTTGGTACTCTGAGACGAAGATGCGCCAGTATTCGCATGGTGTTTTTCCTTCACGGTACCGGTGGGATAGACATAAACATCGTTATTGTCTTCGAACTCGTCAATAAAGGGACTCGCTCTAAAATCCAGGTCGGACGTTTTCTCCGTCTTGCCCTCTGGACCTTTAATTGTCTCTGACTCTGATTTTACCGTCCCGGTTAACTCAACCGTTATCTTGTCGGTTTGTTCCAACCTTTTCTCCCTGTTGCATTGTGGCGATTTTTCATGTGGGACGAGTTTGTTTGTTTTTGCCTTCTCTTCAACGGTAGCCGCTGGCGTAAGTACGACGGCCGTTTTTCCTTTAGCGTTTTTGTTTTTTGTCAGCGTGACTCTACCTTCAGTTGCTTCCTCTTTCTGTGTGCTATTCAGCCTCTTTAGTTTTGGAGGTGGCACCTTTGGTGTCTGTTCGTGGTGTCTCTTCCTTGTGTCTCTACTTGGTGAGGACTTGTTGGCATTAGTAGAAAAAGCGCCTTGTGCTTGGTTGGGTTTGGTAGACGTGGCAGTGGCTCCTTCCTTAGCTGTACGTGCCATTTCGTTCTGCTTTTGATCTACTATCTCCCTTTCTGTCATCCTCACGCGTTTTGCCACCTCCTTCTTTCGTGCGAATATTTCTTCCTTTTTAAGTCTAAGCTTCTCTGCTTCAGCATCTCCTTCTGTCTTCGCGTCCTGTTTCTTCTCAGTGTCGTCGCGTTCTCTTTTGTGCTCATCTTCCTTATCACGCTTGACTTCGGAGGATTCGGATAAATCACTTCCGATTGCTCCTTCCTCTTCATCAACAACCTTATCGTTGTCTTCTTCTTCCCTTTTTTCTTCTTCGTTTTCTTCTTCAGTGGTCGGCGCGAGAGCAGCTTCCTCCTGAACAAAAACATCTCCACTGCCATCTCCGAAGTCTTGTACTGATTCTTGCGATATTTTTCTCTTCGGTTTCTCGAATCTGTCGTCAATTACGCTCCCAAGGTTCTGATCCACCTGAGCAGTTTCTTGTTTACTCTTGTGGACCTCCGGGCTGCCTTCCCGGTTCTCCTCTTCTTCCTCTGCTCTACGTTCTCCGTCACTCTTCTTATCGTCGTTTTCTTGACGTTCGGCTTCGTCAGGGTTCTCGGCCCCTTGAGCTCGTTTGTGATTCGAGTGTTCTTCATTCCGTGTGCCAGACAGAGCCGCCTGACCGGATTGACATCTTGAATCTTGGTTTTCCTCTTCGGAGTCTGATTGTTCACTTGAACTTGGGCTAGAGCTCGATTGGGAGGCTGGTCTTTGTTTTTTGCGCGTCTTATTTTCTTTTGACCTTGAACGGGAACGCGATCGCGATCTGGGGTTGTTTTCCTCCTTACTCGCGTTCTTTTTGCTGTTGGTTCTCGCTGACGTGGAAGTTTTAAATCTTCCGCTCTCTTTCCTCAGTGCGGCAATGCACTTTCTCTCCTCCTCGCGAATTTCAACAGTCCGTTTCTCATGTCTCTCGACCTTCTGTTGCAGCATCTGCTGCTTCCTTTTATGGAAGTCGATTCGGTCTGCGAAGGTCGAGCCGGAATCGGATTCCGAGGAGGACGAGCTCGATTCTGAGGAGGACGACATATTTTTAATCTGTTCGTCCGGGTAAAGTTGGGCACTTTTTTTTTTTAAAAGGTTTGCCTGGGTTAAACCCTTATTGTTTTGTAGGAGGGGAAACACAAATTGAAAAGGGAAAATGGAAAAATTTTTAAGTTAGGACTATATCCAAGGTGTTATGAACTCGCTTCTTGAGAAAAATAACGGAAGGTTAGACCTTCAAACGACACTATCCTTACAAAAGTGGAAGTCTCAACCTGTTATATTTAGGCTCTATACTCAAATCGGGGGATCTTGCTTCTCTAGAAGTGTTATACACTTTTATCTTCTAAAAAGCAACCACTCTACCACGCTACCAATGTTGAAAGTGGAAACGTTGAGATCTCTCAAGGGGAAAAACGATCGTAAACGTTGTGTCGTTGTTCGTGAACACCTTAATCTTCTGAGCGTCAGCGAGGAAGATTTTTCAACAACAAAATAAAATTTTATTTTTCCATTCCTGTAAACTGTTTCATTTGATGAAATGGTTATGATTTGATTCATGTTAGAGATCGATAATGTGATCGATCTCTTTCCTTCTCAACGAGTAGACAATTAGATTAGATCGATCGATTAATTACTTCTCTCGTCGAGTTTTCGTCTCAGTGAACTCATTTAGTTAGACAGCAGGTTTCAATTCCTGCTGTCTTGACTCCCGTGACCGAAAGGAACTCTCGTAGATTTCAGGATCTCACTTTTCCCCTTCAGTAGAAATCAAAGATCAAGTGCAGGATTTCTTATNACGTGACTCTACCTTCAGTTGCTTCCTCTTTCTGTGTGCTATTCAGCCTCTTTAGTTTTGGAGGTGGCACCTTTGGTGTCTGTTCGTGGTGTCTCTTCCTTGTGTCTCTATTTGGTGAGGACTTGTTGGCATTAGTAGAAAAAGCGACTTGTGCTTGGTTGGGTTTGGTAGACGTGGCAGTGGCTCCTTCCTTAGCTGTACGTGCCATTTCGTCCTGCTTTTGATCTACTATCTCCCTTTCTGTCATCCTCACGCGTTTCGCCACCTCCTTCTTTCGTGCGAGTATTTCTTCCTTTTTAAGTCTAAGCTTCTCTGCTTCAGCATCTCCTTCTGTCTTCGCGTCCTGTTTCTTCTCAGTGTCGTCGCGTTCTCTTTTGTGCTCATCTTCCTTATCACGCTTGACTTCGGAGGATTCGGATAAATCACTTCCGATTGCTCCTTCCTCTTCATCAACAACCTTATCGTTGTCTTCTTCTTCCCTTTTTTCTTCTTCGTTTTCTTCTTCAGTGGTCGGCGCGAGAGCAGCTTCCTCCTGAACAAAAACATCTCCACTGCCATCTCCGAAGTCTTGTACTGATTCTTGCGATATTTTTCTCTTCGGTTTCTCGAATCTGTCGTCAATTACGTCCCCAAGGTTCTGATCCACCTGAGCAGTTTCTTGTTTACTCTTGTGGACTTCCGGGCTGTCTTCCCTGTTCTCCTCTTCTTCCTCTGCTCTACGTTCTCCGTCACTCTTCCTATCGTCGTTTTCTTGACGTTCGGCTTCATCAGGGTTCTCGGCCCCTTGAGCTCGTTTGTGATTCGAGTGTTCTTCATTCCGTGTGCCAGACAGAGCCGCCTGACCGGATTGACATCTTGAATCTTGGTTTTCCTCTTCGGAGTCTGATTGTTCACTTGAACTTGAGCTAGAGCTCGATTGGGAGGCTGGTCTTTGTTTTTTGCGCGTCTTATTTTCTTTTGACCTTGAACGGGAACGCGATCGCGATCTGGGGTTGTTTTCCTCCTTACTCGCGTTCTTTTTTCTGTTGGTTCTCGCTGACGTGGAAGTTTTAAATCTTCCGCTCTCTTTCCTCAGTGCGGCAATGCACTTTCTCTCCTCCTCGCGAATTTCAACAATCCGTTTCTCATGTCTCTCGACCTTCTGTTGCAGCATCTGCTGCTTCCTTTTATGGAAGTCGATTCGGTCTGCGAAGGTCGAGCCGGAATCGGATTCCGAGGAGGACGAGCTCGATTCTGAGGAGGACGACATATTTTTAATCTGTTCGTCCAGGTAAAATTGGGCACTTTTTAAAGGGTTTTCCTGGGTTAAACCCTTATTGTTTTGTAGGAGGGGAAACACAAATTGGAAAGGGAAAATGAAAAAAAATTTTTAAGTTAGGACTATATCCAAGGTGTTATGAACTCGCTTCTTGAGAAAAATCACGGAAGGTTAGACCTTCAAACGACACTATCCTTACAAAAGTGGAATTCTCAACCTGTTATATTTGGGCTATATACTCAAATCGGGGGATCTTGCTTCTCTAGAAGTGTTATACACTTTTATCTTCTAAAAAGCAACCACTCTACCACGCTACCAATGTTGAAAGTGGAAACGTTGAGATCTCTCAAGGGGAAAAACGATCGTAAACGTTGTGTCGTTGTTCGTGAACACCTTAATCTTCTGAGCGTCAGCGAGGAAGATTTTTCAACAACAAAATAAAATTTTATTTTTCCATTCCTGTAAACTGTTTCATTTGATGAAATGGTTATGATTTGATTCATGTTAGAGATCGATAATGTGATCGATCTCTTTCCTTCTCAACGAGTAGACAATTAGATTAGATCGATCGATTAATTACTTCTCTCGTCGAGTTTTCGTCTCAATGAACTCACTTAGTTAGACAGCAGGTTTCAATTCCTGCTGTCTTGACTCCCGTGACCGAAAGGAACTCTCGTAGATTTCAGGATCTCATTTTTCCCCTTCAGTAGAAATCAAAGATCAAGTGCAGGATTTCTTATATATGCGCGCACAGCCAGTGTGACACCCGGATAACCTTAGAAATGCAAGAGAATGTAGTTCCTTAAGAAATGCAAGAGAATGTAGTTCCTTAAGAAATGCAAGAGAATGTAGTTCATCCTTAAGAAGTTGACGTTTCTTCTTGAAACCACAACTGGTGGACTTGGTTCACAACTCATGAAAATGAAACATGCAGATTTAGTCCAGACGACCGGGGATGTAACTAATCATGAACATGAAATACTAGCCTTAATATCCTTACTCCTGTTTCCGCTACACCGCACGCGAACAGAGTAATACAGAGCTGGTTTTGGTCAGGTAGTGGTGGGTTCGGGAGCTCTCTTCATGTAATGAGAAGAGTGATGAATTCCTTAGATTGTAGCCGCTTTCATTAGTAAGTCATTAATCCACTTCTTGGGTTTAAGCTCAAGTCTTCCTTTCTGTTCTCTCTTCCTAAGGGATGTTTGGGAGGAAGGAATGATTTTAAAGTAACGAGCACACCGGGTTATTTTAGAGGGTCTTTACAGGCTTTCTAGGGAGTGTTTTCGGTTGTAGCTTCATTCATTCATTCACTTACCTGTTCGCGAGGTATTGTCTGGTTGCAAGGGGAGGGAGTAAGGGTTAATTGTAAATAATTAAGCTCCTGTGGTATTGATTCTTTGTTACCATAATCGAAAATTTAAAGCACCTGTATGATCCCGAGTGTCCGAATTCCTAAATTTTTATGGAGGTCAAAAAGTGCGCGTATCTGGTCACCGTTTGGCACTTTGTTGAACTTCGTTTCTAGTTCGCTCATTAGAGGACCTATGTATAAAAAGTCGAAACAAGAGCGATGTCTGTGGGATATGCTGTCTATGTATGCATAGATACTAGTACAGTGCACACTGCTGTCTGTGTGTTGCTTTGCAGAGCCCTAAAAGTGGTGTAAGTAGAAGTACTACGTAGTAGTATTGCACCAGCGTAGTACTCGTAGTAACGTCGTTTCTTGCTATGTTGATACTAACACCAATTAGATTTTTTGATCAGAATATGAAAACATTTTGCTATTGCCTTAATGCTGAGTCCTGCTTTGCCATATCCACTAGCGCCCCTTTTTCTACGCCCAGGGAAATAATCCCCCATGCCAGACAAAAAACAACAGGATATGGTTAGAGGGTTGGTTTGGGAAGGTCGGCTATAATGTTACTGTTGAAACAAGGGCGCCGTTGGCTTCTTTTTCCAGGGAAAAAGCAAGGATGATGATGAGCACAAACTCCCCTTCCCACTGTATTTTTTGGACAGTGTACCCCGCGAATGGGTTTGCCACTACTAATACTACTACTACTAGCAGCAGCAGGATGCACACAGACGCTGTCGTGTACAACTATTTTTTCATGATATTATACTCAGAGCCATAATACCCGAGAGGAACCGACGAAGTGAGAAGCACCCAGTGGGCCCACGTTTTCTGAACCGTACTGGTAGGCGTAGGCGATCTGATGTTGAGTGAGTGTGTGATATATGAGTGAGGACGTGTGAATTGGTTTTGATCCTGACATCATTGACATCAGCATGCTAAAAAGATAAACATGTGTTTCAAGACGTTACTTCTAACAACATGCTGACAAGATAAAAATGCGTTTCAAGTGAGTAACAACATGTTAACAAGATAAAGATCAGATGTGTTTCAAGAAGTTACTTCTAACAACATGCTCGTCACAAGATAAAAATGCGTTTCAAATGAGTAACAACATGTTAACTAGATAAAGATGTGTTTCAAGACGTTACTTCTAACAACATGCTGACAAGGTAAAAATGCGTTTCAAGTTAGTAACAACATGCTAACAGGATAAAGATCAGATGTGTTTCAAGAAGTTACTTCTAACAACATGCTCGTCACAAGATAAAAATGCGTTTCAAATGAGTAACAACATGTTAACTAGATAAAGATGTGTTTCAAGACGTTACTTCTAACAACATGCTGACAAGGTAAAAATGCGTTTCAAGTTAGTAACAACATGCTAACAGGATAAAGATGCCCTTCAAGTTCGATTTCGAACAATATTGTTCAATATTATTAACAATATTAACAAGAGAGTCCATCGTTTCAACAAGTAGTTCATCAAACAATATTTGATATTAAGAGCAGAAACAGTATCAACAACAACAACAAGAGTACTAGATATCACAATCACTGACTGCTCAGCATTTACTATAAAACAAAAATTATGTACTGCATTGTCGAAATTCGCGACGTCGCAACGTTTGCCGACGTCCTAGAAGCCTTTCCTTTCTTAGGTAGTTTTCTTGAGTGAGCGCGTGCTGAAGGGGGTCAACCAGCCTACTTGTCCTCTACTGCTTGCGCCGGTGCTTGAGCTTGATTGATTCTTAGTTGTAGTAGTAGTAGTTTACCCATTCGGGGGGTAACTTCAGCAAGTAGTTAGGGGAAGGGGGGTGATTGATTCATGTGCCTGGCAAGACGAGGCAGCTGCCAGATGGTATAAAGCCGAGACTTGGTATGTCCCAACGTGTCCTGCTCCGAGAATCAACGTAGTTCGTTCTCGCCGTAGCGTTGTCGTGCCACAGCCACTTTATCTATTTCTTACACGTAGTAAGTATCTTTCCTCTGTAATCAACAACTGTAGGGCCACTACTCTTTACTCTTCTAGATGATTCATTTCAATTGTAATAATGAAGTACTAGTTAAAGGTCAGCTTTCAGTGGTCATTGGGGTTGGTCACTGAGATCCCTCTTGAGAGAACAGGGGAAAATGAAGGAAAAGCAAAGGGAGAGGCATGGGGCCCATTTCTTTCAGAGTCAGTGACCATTGAATGCTGAGCTTTAATTCTAGGTCGGCTACTCTAGAAGAATCAATGGATTGTAGCAACACTCTCCCAGAAAACGATTATCAACCTTCAGATTGAAAACGAGGCAGGCTAAACTTCAGATTGAGTAACTTTGGTGAACCTTGATGAGCCTCGTCTCAGTCACTCTACGACTCGCTCTAGTACAACGAGTCAATGCGAATTCTATTGAGGAGCTTCTACTTACGAACGTGGTTGATTGTTGATAGTACGAGTTGAACCGATGCACCTGCTTGCGCTTGAGCTTCTTACGAAGGGGCCGCGACTGAACAGGATAATATAATTGGGGACTATTGGGCATGTTGGTGGGAGACTCTACTTCTCGTTTAGCAGGCTCGTATCTTCGCGAGGTAATCATGCACGTCCTCGACGCCAATTGTCGATACGAGTTGGACCGATCCACCTGCACCTACTCTGCAACACGATAATTTTTATTTTTTGCGAAACGAAATAGTATTTCCCTAGCAAACCCACCCACCCGAACTCAAGATGAGGCAACTCTCTTCGACCCACCCACGAACTCAAGATGAGGCAACTCTCTTGCGAAGGACCACTCGTCCGATACGATTTTTTCACAATTTTTTTCACGATTTTTTCACAATTGTCTATTCGTCCACTTCTGAGCAAGTAAAAATGATGGACATAGACTACACTTAGTTGCTTCTGATAAGTTTACAGGTCAACGCCTAAACCACTAAGGTGATTCAACGCGTTATTACTTAGACGAGTGCTCAATGTCACGACCGAAGTACATTTTTCGCAATAGTACTTGCTCAACGTCCAGGACTAACATAGTCTTATTTCTTCTTGATGAATATAGAAGTCCTATGTTGAAGTAAGAGTAAGTCTAAGTACTATGTGTATGATATGCTAAAACAAAGAAAATTCTGTATGTTAATAACTACAAGTACTATGTCTATATGCTAAGACGAAGAAAATTATGTTAATAACTAAGTACATACATCATGAGAAAAAGAAGCATTCTAATCATTATTATCATACACCTCCATGTATTACTATTACTATCACTTCACTGCTCGTCTCCTACCTACCAGAATAAGCAGACCGAAATTGTTTTTACTAGAAGGCTACGCTACCGCTACGAAGGAGGTGTCTAGCTCTAAACAACACCCGGCTCGAAGTTATACCAACATTAATGTCTGCAATATTTAATTGGACCCAGGTCGAAACAGCCTCCGTCATGTCATGTGTATGCCCCTGTTAGTGTCGTTCCTAACTACACCCGTAGAGACAAAGTCTGAATGTAGTCCGTGAAGTACACTTAATAGTTAATTATTCTTATAAGAAGTACTTAGTAGTTTTTATTCTGTTAAATATTAGCATGATCAATGTCTGCAATATTGGTAGTCCATTTTATTTTGATCATTGATCAAAAAGCGAACCATGGTGTAATCGAAGTCTTTCACGATATTATCTCCTTCGAACGAAGCATAGTGGCTCACACGCTTGTAAGCCTTCCCTTCCTTGATTTTTTTCGGGTTTCGGCAATAGCAATGACGGACAACGAAGCGGTAAGGATTCACATCTTCTGGAGTCGGAGGACGCGCCGGCGATTGTTGAGTATCATCTCTTCTTAGAAGAAGACATTGAGTTTTTTATATTCATCTGGAAGACATCTTGAAGAGCATGTATCGGCATCTTCATACTTTATTCTTGCCGTGTTATTTTCCTCTCCTTAATGAACAAAAGAGGAACAACAACAAAGTCAAACTCAAAGAAGATGCTGATGCTTCTTGACTACGACCTTAAGCTTATAAGATGAATCAATTATATACGTTGCAACTACTGAGCCTTAAAAAGTCTCCTGTGCTCTCAACATCATGCTGCATTCGCCACCGCTGAGTAGCGGAATCAGAGACAAAAGAACTCCCAGTTTCGAATTCCAAGATTGCCGCTGGAAACTCATTCGGTGTACGCGAGCAGAGGGGCTCACGAGCATTAGAGTCTAATAGATGCTGCGAACATCAAGCAGACTACATAGTCAGCATCTTGGTCAAATTCATTCATTCATTCATTTACCTAGCAAATAATAATAAGTTATAAAGGACATCGCTACCTAGTCAGTAATAATATCGGTGGAGCACGCCTAACTAGGAAACAAAAATACAAAAGAATAAAGGACTAGACGGTGATCGACAAAGAGAGGAGCAAACAATCTTCAGTAATTATCTTGGTCAGTCTCTTGGTCTATCTTGGAGGCCAGTATCATCATATTTTCCCTTATAATTGAGATTGTGTTATTGAGCTTGTGACTGAGTCCTCCCTTTCAGGATCATGGTGGACCAAGATTGACCATACTTGATGGATTTTCGCTCAAGATAGATTCTCTTAAGCCTTAAGAGACGCAAAAATCTGGATGGGGACCTTTTTTACTTTGTTGAGGTCCTGCAGGAGTACGGCAATAGCATGCGCAATGCCGTTCCTCGGATCCTTGCCTACTTCGCAGCTCCTATTTAGAAGAGCTCCCAAGCCGCATCATCCTTCTGTAACAACATAGTATCCTTGAGCACTTCTTTTTCCCCTTGAAAAAGAAGAACCAAGGACCATCATGTTGTGGTATTAAGGAGAGTCCTAATGTTAAGTATCCTGAGTCATAATAAGTACCCTTGGCTAGTTTGTTCTTCTTTTTCCCCTCGAAAAAGAAGAACTAGACCAAGGATCATCTACATCTTCATGATACAAGTACAACGAACTAAGGAGACATGCTTCAGCGGTAGACGCCGACCGGGTCTTTGTCCTCTTTTCTTTATTAGGGCTTCTAGACTTTTCTTTGGTGTTCGTTTACCGTAAAGTTCGCTATGCCTTTCCCCCTTCAGAAAGGCAAAACGAACGGCACTAAAAACAGGAACACCTTTAGCCTACGACCCTTAACTTTACCACCTTCAGGAGCATGATCTCCTTGGTGCCCTTCTTGTAGTCTTACAGAATCATGAGCTTCATCAAAGCGTAGTTCATCATCTTCAAATAAGCATGTTGAGTTGAGACGTTCGATAAGAGAGCCGTGAATGCGATAGCTGTGGCGTCTCTGTGTAGAGGGAATGGCCAAGTGTTGCGCAGCAAGCTCCTCAGCATGAGGGAAGTATCTCCTGTCGCGACCACGGATGCAACAACAGAAAACGGATGATTTGATCACCTCCGAGTCCTCCCGAACCTGTTTTGGTGTCCAGCCAGTGAGAGAATGACGCACCTGCTCTGACACTGAAGAGTGTCGAACGGAAGAAAAGCGGCCCTCACGTCGTTGTTCTTGTATAGCTGAAGTGTAACGTAGTTCACGTCGTTTTTGCTGTGTATTGACCTTGTTCTCTCCTCCTGAAAAAGAGTAGTTGTGTTCGTCGCGTAGTAGATCCTGCAGAGTTTCACTTTCATCCAGAACCTCTTCTCGACGCACGTCGTGTCTCCTTTCAGAAATACGAAGTTTCTGTCCAGCGGCATCATTCTCCTTGGAGGCGTAGAGGTCGGCTTTGTGCATATCTCGAAAAAAAAGGTCACGGCGATTTAACGGACGTACTCCTCGAACAAATCGTGGTAGAGTATTGATGTTCTGCTTCTTATCGCAAGAATCGCCATTCTTAGCGGTACTAGGTTTTTGGTGCTCGTTTATCCCGCTTCTTATCATGCCTGTCTCCCTTAACGAAGCCATAAAAAGCGGTAAGAAAAGCACCTTTAACCTACGACCCTTAATATTCTTGTCAATACCAATAGCAATACTCATATTGTGACTCTGCCTGGTGACATGTAAGTGAGGATCCTGCTCAGTAGCAGAAGAGGCCTCCTGCTGAGCGACCGGCGCTTCTCCTTCAGGTCGACTACGGATACTCTCCTTCAGGTCGTCTGCATCTACGTAGTCTAGAGAAGATTCTTTGTCTTCTTCCGAACCGCTGCTCGCGGTAGAGGAGGCTCCGTCAGTAGAAGACTCATCGTCTGACAACTTTGGCTCATCGACGTTTGGCTCATCACCTAAAAATAGGCTTGATAATGCTCCGCGAACAGAAGAGAACAACTCAACGTCTGAAGCTCCACCTACTGCGGTCGCAATACTAGCTAGCGAGGATGAAACGTTAGACGTACCAAAAGCAACCACGACGACCCATCTTTTTTTAGAACATGATCTTTTAGCATTTTTCAACTACCTCCTGAAGAAAGCAGTTCATGTTCATTCTGCTAAAAGATGGCGTGAAGAAGAGAACTCACAGATGTGGTCGTGAGTAGTTGCTGGCACTTCCCATAAAAACTAATTTGAAATATTTTTCCGTTATGCTTCGCGGAATACAACAGCTCATCCTTTCTAAGAAAGTGCCACCTATCGCGGCTCGTTGCACGCGGACAGCTCCTTCGAAAAGGTCACGACGCTCTTGGAGGGCAACTCCCTTGTTTTCTCTGTTCATCGATGCAAAGGGTTGCGTCGTCGTCGGACGAGGTTCTTGAGGAGTGGGTAGCAGTAGACGTGGTTCTAAGCAAGTGGGTCCTCCACTCCTTAATTCGCGGATGTTGATGAATTTATCAACCACCATTAGGTCCTCATGTCCATGCAACCGCATCTCCAGGTACACGAGATTTTTGAGCAATTTTTCGCCGGATTTACTTGCATTGAAAAAATGCAACAAGTCTGTGGCGCACTCCAAGCGCTCCACGTAGATCAAGTGGTAGTGCTTGGGATACAAGTGCTCTAAAGACTGTTTTAGCCGAAACAGATGCCAGAACATATCCAAACCGTCCAGCACAGCACCATTGTGGTCGGCAGCACCGGCCATGAAGAGCAAATTAGACAACCTAATAAATAACCTAATGGCATCTTCCCTCAGGGAAGAACTGTGCATCCAGGATGTGGCTTCTTTTCAAGTAGAAAAACTTGAAAAAGAAGCCAAGCTGAGGAAGGGGATCCCTGAGCGGTAGCCTTAATCAAAGCTGTTACAGCATCAATCTTGTCCTTCACGCGAACGAGGGCTCCTGCACCATTTTTCGCGTCCTTGCTGCCTGTAGTACCCAAGAATCGCTTTGCTCCCATCACTTGATTGTGCTTATTTAGCAGGTCCATGCACAAGTAGTTGTTCTTTTTCCATCTTCCGACATGCTTTGAAGATTCTTCGACCGATGCTCTAATATTCCACGGTAACAAATAGGGTGAACCAGGAGCCTTTGCCAAGAACGTTGTTGAAGATGATACCTGCTCGTCTGACGAGTCGCGGGTGGAAGTGGAACTGGGTGTAGCGATTGGGGTCCCTGCTGTCTCCTCGCCTACTTCACCTCTCATTTTGGAAGACGTCGCGTGGTCTGTAGTCGTGTCTGTGTCAGTTGTCGAGAGTACATAGTCCTGTTCTTGATCATCTATTTGAGGAGCCTTTTCTTCCAGAGAAGAGGTTGCACCACTTGCAGCTTCTCTATTTTTTCCCCTAAGTAGTTGTAGTGAACCGTCGTGCATCCTTACAAAACCGTCGTTCGCACCAGCTTGATGTCTTTCTTGTTGAAGGTTTCCCAGATGTCTTTCTTGTTGAAGGCTTGCCTCGTCATCTCGTAGCTCTACTTGTCTTTCTTGTTGAAGCTTTTCCAAAGAACGACCACCCCCATCCTGCTTTTCTTGCATCTGCCTCATGTGATCGTGTGCCAAAAAAACGTCTTTGCTTACTAGATGCTGCGTACTGTGGGCTGTCAGCGTAGGCCATAAAACAAACGTGCTCTCCTTACCCAAATTCTCAAATTTACTTAGAAGAAAAAGAGGAGCTCGAGCTCTTCACCCGAATCGAAATCTTCCATCTTCATGATAGATCTGTTGAACAAAAGTCGACCTTTTCAACAAAAGTCTTAAAAAGATATTAGTAAAGTAGTACATTCTGGTGGAGCAGGACCTCAGGAGTCCCCTTAACATTTTTTCCCCTCAAGAACAACAAGTAGAAGATCAGTACAATTTTTTCCCCTTGAAATTCATTAGTACATCTGCAGGATCATGCTTCATCAGAACACGAAGATGGATTAGGATTTAGAAGTACAACTAAGAGGTAGAGGTGCAGCTAAGAGATACAACTACTTAAAAAGCGGTACAACTAAAACTAAGCCTTAAATTACATTCCCAGCAGCCAATCTTTGGATTGAAAAAAGCTTCTGCCCACAACTCCTGCTTGGTCTGGCTTCGAGCAGACTTGCTCTTGCTGCTTGAGGACGAGGAACTCAAGTTTCGAAATAGAAAGTCGCATCCTTCCACTACGAAAGGATCTTCTTCTGCCGATTCAGTTGTATTCGTAGAAGTTCCACCTTCGTATCTGGGTTTCATGGTAAAGTCGACAACTTTCTTAGAAGAAGCAGTTCCTTCTTCAACAGCTCTGTTGTCGATTTCGATTAGTCCGCCGGCGCCAACAATGTTGCTTTTTCCGTCCTTACGGCGTGAACGAAATGCGAAAAACAGTAGCGCCAAGCCAAGAAGAAGTAAAAATCCGAATATACCCGCGAAGGTGAGTACGGCAAGCTCCCCCAGTTGAGGTCCGAACGCAGTGCTATACTCCAAGTCCAATCCTCTAGCAGGAACGCTATGAGCAGCGCTGTGACTGTGAGCACTTCTTGCACTTGCAAAGTAGTTGTGAATGCTTCCACTTATTGGGCGGAGTATCAATGTCTATAGTTACGGAACTCTTAACTATTTAATATTTTTGTGAATACTTAGATTAGAAGTAACTACTTTGAAGATGTTCTACTAAGTATTCACTTTCGCAATTAATATAATTACGCATCTTGTTCCCTAGTATAGTCTTCGTTCTCAATAAGTGGCCTCATACATACTAGGTGCTGCTTGTGTCCTGCTGGATGTAGAAGCCGCAACTGCTAGAGCTGGCGCTGATGAAGAAGACGCTCCTGTCGATGAGTGTCGCCCACGTCCATCAGTATTTTGGTTCTGTTGCTCAGGTTGCAAAAAAGTTGCAGAAGTAATGAAACGACCACGGGAGGGTGCGAAGGAATCAAACTGCATTTCCCCATCGGGGAGTATTTCTGCTGTACTTCTAGCGGTCGTAGTTGTGGGAGGGACTAGATATTGGGCAGCTGCACGAAGAGAGTCTACTTCTTGATGACTGTCATCTCGCTCAACAGCAGAACCTGAAGAAGACCTCGAGAAGGAGCGGCGCGTCATCGCTGCCGCCAATCTTCTATCCAATTCCAATGTTGATGAGGTCGTGGAGCCACCACTAACAGGAGTGCTTCTAGTAGTTATTGATGAGGTCGTGGAGCCACCACCACCTCCAGCAGGGGTGCTTCTAGTAGTTCTTGCCATCGACGTTGTACTACAAGCGCGAAAGCAACAGGCCAATCCTAGGCTAATTGCAAAGAGTTCGGACAGGAGCAAGACGGAGACAACAAAGGCGGTGAGCATTAGGTTGCAAACGTTCTGCTTGCCGCGTACCGGATAACACTTCGCTCGCGTATTCCCTAGAGCCCGAAACATCGCATAAATGGCCTTGATGTGCCACCTGAGGGGAGTGCCAAGACACCGAGTTAGGGGTTGCAAGTTGACCGATCGAGGTCGCAACATATCTATCATGATTTTGCTACTTGAAAAGGCTAAAAAAGATATGCTTACAGATGAGAGGTCAACTTCCAACCCTTAAGTGAAGGAGTTTCTTCAACCACATCAGGATCGCATTTCCGGTATCTTGGATCACTAGGATGCGTACGAAGAGATCGCATTTCCGGTATCTTGGATCACTAGGATGCGTACGAAGAGACGCTCTCGATCAGCTGCAGGTGTAGTCCTGCTCCTGTGCTCCTTCTCTTGTGTGGGCTCGGTGGAAGTACTAGTGATGTTGTGCTCCTGCTCTTGTGCTTCTTCTTGTCCTGAAGCGGAAGTAGGGATCTTGCCCAAACTCTTGTTGTTGGATTTGGGTCGTGCTTGTTGTTCGCAGGAGAAGGCTGGAGAAGACGTGGTGCTGTTGTAGAGTCGCAAGACTTGAAAGGAGACGATGTGCAAATGAATATCGCAGACATTTTCCTCAAAATGTGTCCCGAGCCTTCCAAGCGTCCGATTCGCGCTGAGGTGAACTTCTTCGTTTTCGTAGGTGAGAACCTGTACCCCGTCATAGCTTTGCCCCTTGGCGTCTCGAAAGACACTCGCCAGAGAATCATCGAAGAAGCCTTCTTCACGACGTGGGCTCTCCTCTACCACAGAGGACTCAGCTCTCTCCACCACAGACGGAGTCTCGAAAAACTTGGCAGCTTCCACCAGAGACGGAGTGGGTGGAGTTGATGTGATTGAAGTTGATGAAGATGATGCTCCTGCTGCAGTACTCTGGGAATCCATCACTTGATACAAATGACTCTGGTCCAGACGGGGTTCACAGCAGTTTCGCAAGTCGGATACACTCATGCCAGCTCGCAGGAAATCACTCAGGCAAAGGACGTTACAACTACTACTACAGGACTGAGAAGTCATCTGAATCTTCTTGATGTTGTGCTGTTGATGAAGTTCTTCTTGATTGCCTTCCATCTCTACTTTGCTGCGTATGTGAAAGAGAACCTTTGGTGTGTCGTCAGCAAGTGGCGGTGACACTCGCATCTGTAGTTCGCCATCTACGGTTTTGTCTGCCACAAAAGTGCGTCCTTTTCGATAGGAAAAGTGCTCGTGTCCCGCTATAGCTGACGGACTCTGCTTATCCGTGAGCTGTTTCCATATTAGAGGCCTGTCCCGTTAACCTGTCCCGTGAACAAGAACAGATCCACCCGTTGAAATAGTGCTCGAGCCAGTACCAGACTCAGCACAGCCCTAGACTCGACGGCCAGGCACGACTGCCAGCGCCGTAGCACGTGGAGAAGTCCTGACCTCTCACGTGGAGAAGTCCTGACCTCTCACGTGGAGAAGTCAGGTTCTTTTAAAAAGAAAAAGTAAATAGTCTTCAAAGTAGGTACTCGTCTTTTTTGGTCTTCTTTTTTAGGCCTTAACAATAGGTTGCGAGGCAAGTCTTTCAAACGGTAATCCACATTGTTCACACATTTATACACTCCAGACAGGAGCAGGCGCCAGCGGTGTACTCGATGATATTAGAGGTACGCTCTTGGTGTTCGTGCTTTACCCCGTTCGCTATGCCTTTCCCCTTCGGACAGAAAGGCAAAACGAACGCTATGGCCATAGCAGGTGGAACACCTACTTTAATATTAGCCTACCCTTAATGATAAAATGCGTCCTCTCCTTCTTCGCCTCCTAGTCCGTCTATATCTTCTTGAACAAGATCATGACCTCGCTCTTCTCCTTGCGTTGTGGGATAGCAATGATACGCTTGTAAGTGAAACATTGGGTCCAGTCTTTGCCATTGAGAGCCAAGCAACGTCGCAACTTCCGCAGGATGCTGATGATGATGCACGAAAAAATGTACTTAGGACGCTTCAAAGTCGTGACCAAAAACAAAAATTCCTTAGGGGCTGATGTGTCTTCAAAACCATGACCAAAACCTCAACGGCAAAACGATGACGAAAAGTTCTAGAGATAACGCAAAAGTAGCGCTTTCCTAAGCTTACCGTCACATCCTTAGTGGTCACCTCCACCTGACTCTGTTCTTGCCCTTCTAGTACTAGTAGTACCTGTGTAAGATAGTTTCCAGTAGCCTCCAGCTCTTTTAGTATCTTCGCGAGACTCGAGGTGAAGGCGGCATCCATTTCCATGCTAGAAGTAGAAGTAGTGTTCTCATTTTCCTTGACATGGTCCTTCTTTGCGTCTGCTTTATTACCATCTTGATGTTGTAGTTGCGCAAGCTCTGGTGCTTTGGTAGGGCTGTTCGTGTTGATCTGATGTTGCTGATGATCTTCAAGATGAGCTTCCTCATGAAGCTTACTAGCATATCCGGCGGCTAGAACTTTATCTTTATCAGTTGGCACGGTCACCCGCAAGAATTCTCCGCGAAGGACGGTCTGTACCATGTAGAAATAGAGAATGTGATGTGGACTTGGCATCTCGTCCAGGGCATGCAGCCGAGCATTTCCACGACAACCTTGGAGGTCCTCCTCAATTCCGCGAAGCATCCCTGGCTCCAAATTAACCGGCTCACGCCAGTTTTCATCGGTCTCTTCGAGCTCGGCGAATTTTGCGTACAGCACTCTCTTGATCGCATCAATATCGAGATCTTCATGTTAGAAGATGTGTAGTGTTTCACTATCCCAGGTCCACATTCACTGTATTATAAAAAGCAGCCCCATCAAATTATATCTTGACAACTATAGTCCTCACATATCTATTTGAGTAAGTTGGCCTACCTTCTCCCCCTTTATTTTCCCCTCCAGATCACGGGTGATTCCACTCAGTTGCAGAAGAGTCCACATCTTCATGGGATATTAGTGAAGATAAAAAGCAACCCTTAATGATGGTGACCCATTTCATCGCGTACATGCTCCACATCAATGGGCGGCAACTGCTGACACCATTGGGCGAACCCAACTCGAGTTCCATGCCAGCACCCGGATGTCGTTATAATTAGAGGTAGAGTAGTAGTAGTAGTAGTGTACCCAGTCAAGGGGTATAAAAGACCGCATGTTAATTATGCATCAGTTTTCTTCCCTTTGCATCTCCAATGATGATGCACTAAGTAAGCCTCTCCAATGTATGTGTATCTATGATGTGCAAATTGGTACTAAGTAAGCCTTAACGTTAATAAAGGAAGGAGCTTCGGAGCCTTGATGCTCGCGAATGCGACATCCTCATCTTCCGTACTTTCGCGATGATCCATCATGTTGGACGACCTGGTACTCGTCTCCATGGACGACCTAATATTCTTGGTAGAGGAAGTTGAGCGAGTCTCTTGCCGGGCAAGCTGATCATGAGCTTGCAGTCGTTCTTGCGGGACCAGGAGCGTCCATTATTTTTTTGTCCGACCACAACTTGGCTATGTTATTTTTTTTGGAATTTTGGCTATGTGGAGAAAGTATCATGTATCATGCAAAAGAATAGTAGCCGTAGTGAAAAAGTAGACCTTCTTTCAATATCATGTATCATGTGATTTTTGCAAAAGAATAGTAGCTGCACTGAAAAGTATTGTTCACCGTGTCGTGCGTGTGGAAGCCGAGGTGTATTTACTCTGATTTAAGTAGAAGTGGAGCCCTAGTTGTAACTTACTAGAAAAAGCAGGAAATAAAAAGAAACAGCGAGTCATTTAAGGGGAACTAGATGAAGGAGGATTTCCTTCGATGAGGGGTCTCTGCAGCGTTGAGATTTTTGGATTCATTCGATAAACTGAAAGAAGCAGGTATCTGATGAAAATAAGAGAGATACTGAAGGTGAGTAGTCTTGTAAAGCTACCTACCTTGTTAACAGAGACGTAGACACCGACAGAAATTTGGGTTTGGATTTGAAGACTTCAGAATTTTTTTTTTTTTGTATCCTGGGGCTACTGAAAGAGCGGCCTCAGCTTTATCCAGTTCGCAAACCGGCGGCAGGCGGAACCTAGTGTTCCTCTATCACGCTATACTCTACGAACCCGCCGATTTTAGAGATGATCGAAAACTAGGAGGTTGAGGGAATGACTACGCCACAATTCCCAGCGATATGCCGATCGCCTCACACTTAGCGCAGACACACAGGTCGGGGCGAGCAGGATGCCACCTACTTCTTCTACCCACATCGACGCGCTCAACAATCGGTGAAAAAGAACTAGCTGATAGCCAATATTCTGGTGTAAGACCCTATATAAAAACATGCTGCTTAGTCACGTCAGTAAGTCGACACTACGCTGGGGCTAAGTTTTTTGTACCCTGGGGCTACTGAAAGAGCGGCCTCCCACAACAGGGGCGCGATTCGTTTCAAACAGACATTAGGAGTTACGGCGCCAGCACAACCAGAAGACTAGGTGACCGTGACGTGCTGTTGTGGCTGAAGTGTGTCTGCAACAGAAAGATAAAACCATATCTCAACTGATGACACAACACAAGAGAAACAGAGACGCGAGAAGAAATATCACTATAATCATCTCAGATCCCAGATCAAGTTGAGACATATCTTCATCTCATAAGTAGTTAAGAGGACTCCTGGTTCAAGAAGAAGAGGACTTTCTAGTACAACTACTGTGGTGCTTCTAATCCTAGTGAATGCTTCCACTCATTGAGAACGTCGATATGGGAATGTCGCTATCTTCGCTCTCAATGAGTGGCATCATACATCTAACTGGACTAATTTGCCTCAGCAACAGAAGGCTAAGGCATGAATATCTCTCCTTAGAATGAGCAACACCAGAGTCACTCCTTATTAACAGAATCACCCCTCATTCACAGAATCACTCCTCATCAACAACAGAACCACCCTTCATTAATAATAGATATAGAATCACTCGTCAACATTAACAGAATCGTAGTGCAGCGGTCTCAGAGTCTTAGCGCGGTCTTAGTGCGATCTCAGACTCTTAGTTTGGTGTCTGAACGTCAGAAGTTAGACCGTTTGGCTCTGGCTTGTTCGATCGTCCAGTTCGGTTCTCCATTCGACAAGTACTCTCCTCCTCGTCCTCGGTCTCAGAATCTTGGTCAGTAGGCACGGGAGTCACTCCACCGAGCCCGCAGAGTGCTTTAATAAATAAGTAAGCTGCAAAACATAGATTACATCGTGCTTGTGGAATAAGCTAAATTGTCATGATCCCCAGCGGAGATGTATTCTTCGTTTTTGGACATCGAGTAGTAGATAACCTATGTATAGGAGTTGGTCTTCTTGTGTCATCAATGTCAAGCGGAGGCGCAGAAGATTATGAAGTCACAAGTCATGAACATACAGTGTTTTCTAAGTAAGATGAAGTACTTACTCATGTTGATGTTGTTGTCATTGTGGTCATACTCGTACAACGTGTGAAGACATATCTACAGCGAGTTAGCTCCTCTTCTTGTCCGAAAACAGCTATTTAGTTCTTCTTCTTCTTGTCCGAAAACAGCTATTTAGCTCCTCTTCTTGTCTGAAAACAGCTAGTTACCTCCTCTTCTTGTCTGAAAACAGCTAGTTACCTCCTCTTCTTGTCTGAAAACAGCTAGTTAGTCCTTCTTCTTCTTGTCCACAAATAGCTAGTCATGTCATGTCGCCTTTATTAGTCTTGAACTTCTTGTCAGGGGCAATGCCTTTCAACCTTCTTGTCTAACACGTCGCGGAAGCGATTGTTGGGCATCGTCCTTTTCGTCCACTAGTGCTGTCTCACCCCCACCGACTTTCTTTTCGATGGACTGGAACTTGACAGCGCTTCCTCAAAGGCTACAAAAGAGTCTCCATCCATTAGCCCAACAAAAATCCATCTCCAGCACCACGAGCATCGTTAATTTGATAAGGTTAAAAATAAGGATACGATTTTTAGTAGTTCTACTAGATGAACAAAAGTTGCTTTACATCTATAATTCCCATTCCTCGTAGTTACGATTAGTGGTTCTAGTACTAGTTCTTGGTTCCCCTTGCCGTTTTCATTTAGACATATTAAATAACTGCAGTTGAGTGAGTGAGTGAGTGAGTGAGTGACTGAGTGAATAAATGTACCCACTGCAGGGGTATCATGCCAGACTACTACATTACTACTAGTTCCCGTAATGCAGCGTAGGGGTCAATTAGTAGATCGTTCGATATTCCTAAAAAAAAAAAAAGATGCTCCGGAGCAAGAAGATGGATTTGTCGCGAACAATGCGGTCATAAATCTAAGGACGAGGAATTTGGCGACGAGGATATTTGTTGTAAAAACATCTGGAATTTCGGTCCCCGCAATTGAAGTTAGCGTCGGCTCTTATTCATCATCTCGGTCCCGCCCTCATCTCGAGGACTCGCCCACCTTTTTGCCCATGAAAAAATAGAAAGGGACAAGCAGGGTCGTCGCATCAAGAAGATGCTGAGATAGATGAAAAAAAGCTGACCTGCTTAATGAAGGAAGCAGCGAAGAAAGATGTCCTTACGACGATGATACTCATCTTGCTCAAATGTAGTTGACGCAGGTCGTGTGCAACTTTGAATCAGCTTTTGTCGTATATCCACCGAACCCGAAGGCGGCATTTGTGCTGGTGATGCCACGCCTGTATTGTATCTTAGAAGTAGAGGTACTAGGGTTCTTTGGGTGTTTAAATATATGTCACCTCCCGTTCGTTATGCCTTTCCTCCTTATGAATTATATGAAGGGCAAAACAAACGGCAAAAGACGCAGCGCCAAAAACGAACCTACAACCCTTAAATATGGCGCCGGCAGCACGAAAACCGAGGCTAAGCATCGTTCGAACAGAGGTCTGGCGGAGCGAAAAAGTTCGAAGAGCGCGTTCCGCTTCCCACTACAAACGGAAGGCCAGAGGTGAAAACTCGACAAGACTGCTAGCATTGCCCTTTCTACTAACTGCTCCATCATTTGTCGCTGATACTGAACTAAAATCCGCTCTAAAAGTGATAAGAAGCAGCGATAAGCCTGGACTTTATCACCACTGCTTCTATTAGAGAGAGAGAGATCGGGAATCGCTATCGTCCTCCACCTCGGTTGAGTACTAAGATGTAATATGGCATTGACATAATTTTGTAGCCTGATTTTGACCATAAGGAGTGGAACCAAGAAGAGCACCCCACCCGTGATCGAAATCAGGTTTTTACCCCTGACCAGAACAATATTTATAAATGAGACGAGTGCTGAGATCCCACCGTACTAGTTCTCCCAGTAAATTTTGTAATGACCAGCACCACGTACTTCGGTGGACTTGCAGTTATATTACCTGCGTGGGACGTCGATATTGAAAGTGATACACTCTATTTTCTTGTAGCCTTAATAGCACTACTATGATCGTTCGATGCTGTTGAAGCAAAGGGATCGGCAGTCGCTTCAGTCTCTAGAAACGACAGAATAACCTGGCACGCCACTTCCAGCCACTGCTTGATGGCTCCGTTAATAGTTAGAAGTAACGCGGCTATTGCATTCTTTCCACAGTGCATCCTTGACTTCTTATTTGTTCCCAAGAAATTGTTTGGGAACAATAAGAAGTCAAGAATGATAATCATTGGGAAAATCACAATAATGCGGGACATCATTGCCAATGTGGATGGAACCCTTAAAATAAGATGCTCTTCTTGATGAGGATTAAGCCCAACATGTTGCTCGGGGGCTATTGTAGAAGGAGTCGACGTGCCAAACCCGGCGTGCGCAGAAGTAGTTTTATGACAACAGAGAAACGCATTCAAAACGTCGAGTATCGGCGCTAGACACTTTGAGCCGCCGCCTCCATTTGCCAGTACTGATGAAGTCATCCTTTGTACTTTTGCCAACAAGGAAGTGCCACTCCTTGCTGGGCCTACAGTTGTCCCTCCACTACAAGTTGATCCTCCACCACTTGTTCCGGTAAAGAGTCCACTACTATCTTTTGTAGTTCCATCAGATCCAGCCCAAGCTTGTAGGAATAAGCCAAGAGTTTTGCCCGCCCCTGCAGGGCGATAAATATGCTGCTCAGGCCGAGTTTGCTGCTCAGGTCGCTGAGGTTGAGCATCACTTGCCATCCCTGTCAATTTAGAGAACTACCCATCATCTCGTGGTAGCACATCTTTTCATCTACTAACTTTAGTAGCACACTAACTTTAGTAGCACATGGTCTTGTAGTTGTAGTTGTGGCACATGATCTTTTCTACTAACTTCTTTCTTCTTTTTAATGTTGTAATCCTTCAATTTTCATCAGACTACTCTACCAGCTATAGGTTAGAGGTTAGATGTCCTAGTTGTCCCAGATTGATGTTGCACTAACTATCTACATTTCAAGTTTACCTATTTGCCTCCTGAACGAGGTACTGTCATGTTACCTCATGGCCCATCCTGTCAAATCATGGTATTGAAAGCAGCTGTTCCTCAACGAAGATGTTAAGGCTATGTTAGAGTAGTTGTACTTAGATTACTGTCGCCATACGTAATACTAGTTTAATGATGTCCTTATGCTTAATAGATCATCGACTCTTACTCTGCTATGTTAGTACTAGAGCTGTACTTAGCACTACACTAGAAGATGTTCATCTTCGAGAAGTAGTTATTCGAAAATTATAAACTGAAATAAGCGAGTAACTACTGAAAATAATCGAGATACTGAACAAGGAAGAGTAGCCCTGTCAAAGCTACCTCCCTCTTATTTCAGTCAGTAACTCGGTTATTTTCAGTATACTAGAAGATGGGTGAAGGTTATAGCAAGTACGTAAAGGTCTGTGGTGCAGGGGAATATCGCAGCAGCGGAGACGAACCCGATGACGACGATAGCAAAGAGCGAAGACACCCAGAGGAGACGACCCGCGAGAGCACCAGAGCTTGGACTATAGGATGTTCAATCTTCCCGATGACCTCTTCCATCAACGCCTGCAGAACCGTCTGCGCCGTGCTTGAAGAGGAGAATGAAGAAGATGGCGTGTCATTTCCAAAAATTGTGGGCGCAAACATAGGATTAGTCGAGCCTGCGCCTCCACCGCCACCTCCTCCTAAAGATTCCTCAACCCATATCAAAGGAAAAGATGACCAACAAGTCTTCATGAGGCTATTTTTTTAGAGACAGGCGATTTTTGAGCATCATCATCTCCTCGGGTGTCCCTTCATCTCGACCCCTTAGTTTCCCATGTTCTTGACATAGAAGAAGGAACAAAAAGGGTAGCGAGAGAACAGGCTGAGAAAGATGAACAGCACGACTAAATGTTGAAGACCTTAATTATCCGTCTGTTGCTCCGCACCTGCAGAAAAATCTTTTTGTTGAATTCGAAAGGCAAAGTTTTCTGCCGTAGCATAGCTTCTGCGTGTGATGGCGAAACTACAGCGACTCTGATCCTTGCACTCTGATCCTGGCACTACTACCCCTCCTACACCTCCGACGCAAAACCCACCTGGAAACGATTTCAGGTGACTCGTACCAAACAGCTCCACCACCGTCTGCAGGAAGCTTGTCGCGGCTCCTAAAGTTAAAGGTTGCCGAGTTGCATTCTTCAGAACATCCTTGCCCTACTTGATTCCCCTTGAAAAGGAGCTGAGGATGGTACTAGTGAAGGATGCAATGCGGAGACCCTTAATAAAAGATAGCTGTCCAATTTCTCCGTCTCAAAGTCCTGTAGTTTAGCGCTAGAAGTACCTGATGTGGTTGAGTGAGATGTGATGCTCAGTGGAGGACATTGTCCTCCACTCAGCATATTTACAACCGTAGGTACTCCACACCGATCAACATGGGATTACCACATCGAAGATAGCCACATTCTGTAAAAGTAACTTACTCCACGTCCACCTGATACACATCGATAATCATGAAGTCCTTAAAGGAAGATAAAATACTACAACTAGCCTTAAGTAATTCCTTGGCGAGTTCATCCTCACTCTGAGGAAATTGCTCCACCTGTAAACTTGAGCACAGATCGAGCAACAGTCTCTGCAACGGGTGCTGAGTGCTGCTTCGTCCAGCAGGGACAACAAACTCATCCAATGTTCTTGGCGTAGAAGACGAAGCAAAAGTAGCAGCTGGGGGGCTCGGGCTCGGCTTCACAACATCGAAAAAAACATCCCAGATACGATGTTGCTGCTCACGTTGCTCTTGTGCTGGTGCTGAAAAAAGCGTGCTAGATGAGGCACCACCGATCTGCTCATGTCCTCCATTGTCTACCGCTTTGCTCCCCTTCTGTTCATCTACCCTCGGTCGCACCAAGCCCAGGACCAAGAAGGACACGCCAATAGCTAGTCGCTCCACATGGGGGGCCTCCACTTGGGACAATAGAAAAACGATCCGTCTCAGTCGTCTCAGCAGTATCAAACAGAGCAACTTTCGTTCCATGTCCGAAATGGAAGCTCTTGTGCTCGACTGATTCATCTTGTCAGGAGAAAAAGAAAAGAACTCATCTTCTTGTCTCGCGGTCTGATGAGCACCCTGTGGTCCATGATCGAAAAAAGCTAGTAATTCTTCGAGACCTACTCTTGCACTTGAGCAACAAGAGGTCTCACCAGTACAACTGGAGGTGCCAGTCGTAATTCTATCCAAAAGCTGGTAACTTCCGAATAGCAAGCGATAGAATCGCACAAGGAACGTCCGCGCTGAGTTGTCGTGTTGGTGACTCCGTAAAATGCAGACTCCCGCGCCGTACAATTTCTCATCTAGGCTGAGCAAATCCGACACCTCGCTTCCTTTCGTGAAATTGTCTTTGTTCCCCAACGCAGCGTTCAAAGTTTGGTCCAAGCTGTCAGCGAAGTTCGGGAAGCAAGACCTGATATTCCGATACTCTCCGAAGAAGCTCAACACCTCTTCCAGCGCTTGTGCTGCCGCGTTCGGTGCGAATTTCAAGTGCGTCAATAGAAAGTCCAACATCAACAAGACTAGAGGATCGGCGTCTGCTTCTCTGGTTAGGTGAGCGATGTTTAATCCGTGCGGATGACCTGGCACAAAGTCCTTGTAGTTGTTGGTGCTTCCTCCTCGGTTCATCTCATCGGCATCGCTAATATGCGAACTACAGCGAGTCGTGCTATCGATGAGGGGCTGCGCTGCCAACGCAGCCGCTTCCACTGCGCTTCGGGCTTCTTCGTCGAGGATGGGCACAATCTTAAGCAGCACCCCGGATACCGAAACCACACACCGGCGAACGAGGTCAGCGACTCGGTCCTGCTTTTCTACTTGTTCCCTTTGAAGCTGTTCTTGCTCCTGCGCACTACAAGTGGTCGTACCTTCGTAGTTCTTGTTCTGCATGAGTTCTATGGAAGCCAACTGCTCTAGTTTCAAAGAGCAGATGGTTTGCAGCATTTGCCGCAATTCAATCGGGAGCGGCAAGACTTAGCGCTCAGGGTCTAATAAAAATCTTCCATCTCAAGAAGATCCTGGAATCCTCCTGGAGGGTGCTTTTTCCCCTTGAGTGAGAGCCAGACTCTTCAGGATGTCTTTCCAAAAGATGGATTAGGGGAAGCCTTAAAAGACATTGGCCAGAAGGGCCTGCTCTGCAGATGAGGGACTGGATCCAGCTGTCGAGGAGCATCCTTCCATATTATGTGTCACCTGATCATGAGGTCCTCCTGTTCTGTCAAATAAGTCGCCTTCTTCGTATAGAGCGCTTGCCTCCACAAAACCCTCGCACAGGAAGAGTAGCACCTCGACAGCTAGCAAATCCGGCGCAGAAGTCTGCAGTCGGGATGTCCACACTTTGTACAGTTCTTTAGCGGAGTCGGCCTTCACGCGGTACCAGACGTCGAACAAGTCTTTCACCAGCTCGCGACCACTTTCTCGGAGCAAATTCTGTTCGCCACTAGCGTCGTGTCCAACCTCCACAACAGAAGAAGTCGAAGTTGCTCTGCAATCGATTCGAGACCTGGCCGCGTCGATTCTGCAATGCGTGAAGAGACCATCCAGCACCGGCTCAGTCAGTTTCTGCAGTAAATGTTAAAGCTCAGCCTTCGATGGTCATCATGACTCTGAACGGAAGGGACCCCCTTCAAAGCTCTCCCCTTTCCCTTCGTTTTCCCCTGTTCTCTCAAGGGATCTCAGTCACCAACCCCAATGACCAGAAGGCTCCTCAAGAAGGGGTCGCCAGTGACCAACCCCAATGAGGATTGAAAGCTGAGCCTTAAAAATGTATCACATGTTCTTGACGGAGTATCGATTCACGGTGCAGCTCTTTCAAATGATTGAACAGATTGCCGAGACTTTGGGTTTCCAGGGGGCTCTCGCGGAAAATCTTGCCTATTTCGTCCAACAGCCATGGCGCGCTAAAAAGCAACTGCGTGAACGACTCTGCAACTAACCATAGGGCACGCGCGCGTGCTGCCACGACTCGGCCACTATTAGGTAGTTAGTAGGGGTTTCAAAATGTTGGTTTCAAAATCAACATCAAGTTCTTCGGCGATCTTGTTAAGCAGATAAGAGATAGAAGAGAGCATATTTTTAAGCATATTAATATCTTCTAAAACTTTGTAGTTCCCACTTTCCGAAAGTTGAGTATCAGAATCAGATGTTAGCGAAGATATAAGTAATCCTCTTGGAAGATGATGCATAGATAGGCCAATTTCTTGGAAAAAGAGCCCTTCCTTAAGTAGAGGAGTCTGAGCACTGCTGAAGAAAATGCAACAAGGCAGTCAGCATCTGCCCGGGATAGTTAGGGGACCCGTCCGAAGTCGGCCTAAGAACGGCCTCTGGATCCTGTAATAATTCTTGATTATTCCACAGCGCGGACACGTGCTCGGAGGCATTCCCTAACCCGTCCACTACGCAATCGATGGCTAAGGAGAGTAAATCATCTGTTATTCTGGTCCTGTTCTTGGTTGATAATAAGGACGTCAAGGCTCGCACTGTAGACTCGTGCCCAAAAATGCTCACGCGTTTCTGGCTATAAGCCGTGAGTAAAGCCAGCGCTTTTGTGACAGTGACTCTAATCACTTCTAAGGAGGAAGCCGAAGCGCCGTTCTCCGCGCTTTCAGTGCCAGTAGTTGTAGAATTAAAGGTTGAAACATTTCATTTTTCAAGAGAAATTTTCTAAATCTTAACCAGGGAGGAGAGCATCAGCATGTAAATACTTAAAATGAAATATTTCAACAACCCTGCTTAAAAATAGAAGATGCGAGCAAATGATTTGCTAAACCTCGATCGGCTCCTGCGCTACAATTATCAAGGAGACGGACTAGAGCTCGCTCCAAATGCATCCCCGCAAAAGAGAGGACGTCACTCTGCAAGCGGTCTCGTAGTAGAACCCCTTGCGGTAGAGACTCGAAGCGCTTCATCGGCACTTCAATCTCGTCGAATAACACGGTGAATAATTCTAGGATAGTTGGATTAAAGCTCAGCATTCAATGGCCACTGACTCTGAACGGAAGAAACTCCCTGCAAAGCTCTCCCCTTTCCCTTCATATATTTCCGCTGTTCTACTCTCAAGGGGAGGCCGCCTCTTCGATCTCAGTGACCCCAATCTCAATGGTGACCATTGAAAGTTGAGCCTTAATTGGAATATTCGGTAATATGTTGATTCGACTTGGTCCGGGAGTTCTTGTTTGCTGTTGCAGCTGTTGCTCCCATATATGTGGTAATTAGAGCTACCACGACGCCGCGTCCTTGAGTCCGTCCCTGAGTCCTTTATTTTCCCCTTGAAACAGAAGCCAAGGACGTTGACATTAAGGATATGCGTTACTAGCGGTAGCCTTAATGTAACCAAGATGTGGCGCTGCTGCTGCTAGTAGAAGTACTAGAAGTACCACTACAAGAACAAGAATTGGCATCTTCTACTAGCATCATATGTATGCTGGAAGATGCTGCGGTCGTTGCACTCGTCGCCTGCAGTATTTTTTCAACTACAGGCGTCGACAAAAGCGAAAAGTTAGCTATTCGCAATTCTCCTGTTTGCAACAAACTCCTCAGCACTGGGTCCAAAAGCACCGGGATTCGCACTAACAGAGCGGCAAAGCACGAGATCAACTTACTCCGCACGTTGGAGGAAATGCGAACGTCTCCAGCTAGCATTGGCGATAAAAGATGGACTGAGAAGATTAGCGGTCTCGAGTCAATCGTCACTATCTTCCACCGTGGGGGTTGAGCAGCTCGAGTGAGTAGTTGAAGATGCAGCTTGCCTTTGCAGTCAATCAACGATGTTCATTATATATAGGATACCTCAACCCCGCGTCGCTGGACAGTGATGAACTAGAAGCAGGAGCCTTAAATATAGTAGGAGTTTCTGTTTCTCCGGGTTCTTGCCATTTCGCCGTATACTCTGATACAGTGTCTGTGCGGCCGCGAATGCGAAAACACCTAGAATTAGAGAACCTAGAGATGCGACGTCTTCTTTCCGCTCAGATTTTTTTTTTGAATCGGTTCTTGGTAGAAGTCGTTTAGCTGTAGTTGTAGTGATTGTTCAGTCCTAGTATCGTCAAGCCTGAACGAGTACAGTCGACCAAGCATGATGTGACGGAGAAGGTGTTCTTTTGCGATCATCATTCTGTGAATGGTTCATCTGGTATTTCGTAGCCGGATTTCGACCATAAGGAAAACAAGAAGAGGATCCTTGTGATCAAATTCAGGCGACCAAAAACCAGACCCATACATTATGTATAGAAGCTATTCCCATTATAATATAGTACAACCTGTCCTCATACTATAGTACAAGCTGTGTGCTCTTAGTGCAAGCTGCGCAGTTCTTCCCTGATCATGTTGTAGTTCAATATAACTACCGTAGAGAGGACCACATGTTTACAAGATATTCTTCATAAATTTCTTTCCTGTACTATTGCGGCATGATGTTCTTCAGGCTGTTGAAGTGCTTCTATGAGGATCTCCAAGCTTGTTTCTAAGGCACTCTCCTGCACTTGCCATAGCCGTAAGTAGGCGTCTGCTGCTCCTTTGCGACTATTAGATTGATTTGAGGGAGTAGCCTATGACTCTGATTATATTCGCAAGCTATGCCTATCATGTGACGACGTGAATCGATTCGGCAATCTGCCTAAAATTTCCCTGGCGACTCCTATGTATCTGATGTTCTTTGCGACTATGTTGATTCTGATATTTGGTAGTCAACCAGTGTCACCAGTTCATATTGATTCGGGTCTACCTATAGGTGGAGGCTATCAATCACAACCAAAACAATTGTACAACTAGTCGCGTATTACACTACATGTTTTCGTGATGCCGTTAACCAAAACAAGTATTATACTACATGCTCCTGAGCGTGAAGATCTTAAGCGTAGGATCCGCACCGAAATAAAGCTCGTGCATGTGAGATGCTACCATCTGCAATGAAAAATCTCGGACAGGAGCTGCTGACGCACCTCCTAGAGGTCGTGACGGCGCAGGCGGCGGCGCATTAAACACCACAGGAAAAGGCTGCATGATCTTCTTTCTTTATTCGACAGTAGTACTACTGGGGCACTAGTGCTAGTGTCGTCGTGCTACACAAACAACAAAAACTGTCTGTAGACAACTAGTGCCGGTAGCTACGGAGGACGAGTGCCGGTAGCTACGAAGTAAGAGTAGCACTAGTCCGAAGCGAAGTAGTCGACGTACTACTCGTAGTAGTGAGTCATAATCTCACTCTCGTGCTCGGATGATGCGGATGTTGACTCCTGTACTATATATAATACTAAGTTGTATATAGAATCATCTGCATCCTCAATGCCTAATCTATATCGTCAATGCCATGTTTCTACTCCTGACGCTGTCCTACAGGCTTATAGTTGGCATACAGGATATATGCAGCTGCATAATTGAATACTTATTATTGGCAAAAGAATGTCCTTAGGCATCTGCACCTGCCTATCACAGCAACTTTCACCACCAGGGAAAACTGGCTACTATTGCCTGTTCTAAATGATATCTCAATCCGTTGCTTCGGGTAAAAAGTACTTGGTTCGAAGGAGTCACAGTCACACCAACGTCACAATCTCACACATCATGAAGGACAACATGTTCAACTTCAAGAACCGAAGTTTCTCTCCAGCGACGACGTCAAGAACTAAGTACAACTTGTAGATCCAGACTCATCAGGGGATCGCTTTTTCTGGTTTTTTCATCTCCAGCATTCGCAGTGATCGTGTTAAAGTGAACAAGGTCCTCGACCATTTTATCTTGAGATGTGGACCTATCTGCGGAAACAGTGAGGACCGACTTTTGTTCGCTGTCAGGAGGAGTCAAATGAACACGTGGAAGAACGTAACACACTGGAGAAGTCTTCGTCTTGTTCGGCTTGAAATTTTCGTAAAAAGTCTCAGTTTGATTCGCGGAAAATTTTTCAATCCTTGTTCATCTATTCTCGATTCAGTTTGTATCTTCCATTGTGTCTTTGCTTGGTCATAGCGCTGGTCTCTTGTTTGTCCTCGCGGTTGACAACATCGACCAGGAGCTCACGGAGATTGAAGATGTTCATATAACTAAACCGTCATGCTTAGTTACCTTTCGGTTTGGTTCTCCTTCTCTTATAAAAAAATATTCAATTATACGTCGTCTTCCCGGCTAAGTACTTCTACTTTTTCCCAAAATTCAACAAATTGTTTTATTCTCCCAAAAAAAATTCAAATCACTTCGCACGAACGTTTTCCCAACAAAAAAATTCAGTCTCAATCTTGTAGTGGTGCTTTTTGTCTATTTTTACTTCACATTATCATCTGTTCGAATACGATCTATCATAGGCTGAGTCATGTTCGTCGACATACTTGATTTCCTCCGTGCTTGGTCACTCAAGACTTAAACTCTGTTCACTCTCTGTTTTTACATTGCAATTCTCTATATTTTTACATATGATTTAGCGCGGTATATGAGTATAGTCTTGTTGTTGATGTAGCTACGATGACCGTCAGGAGTTACGTACTGGTACTTGTTCTACTTCTTATTAGACAAAAATATGATGATGGTTCCTCTTCATCGCATTGATTTGTCTTTGCTGCACATCAAATTCATCTGCTACCATCATGTATTTGCTACACGTTTTCTCATAATAATTTCAATTCTGGCAAATGGCTTACTCAGTATGTTGTATATCACTGTACTAGTTAAGTCGTGTATAAATATTGACATTGTAGTTGAGAAGTAGTGTTGAGCGACCTCGTGGCTGCTGCAGAGCACAGCCAAGTGTGGTTCGAGCACAAAATCGGGCATCGAGAAGCACGTCTGAGAATGTCAACTGCGCCATAGTTTGTTGATGTTACTAGTTGCTATCTGTTCGGACATCTCATTGGGCATGAAACCCGTGGTCGCTAGATGGCGATGGCGTGCTTAAGGGGTTCCTTGTCCTGCACAGCAGGCAGCAACATCTTCAACCTAGCAAGAGTATCTTCAACCTAGCATGATTAGCACTACAGGCTGGTCTTTATTAACTACTACAGTTATTCTTTTTGTTGTAGTAGATGTTACAAAACATTGCAGTTGGCTTAGTGGTTTAGGCGTTGGCCTGTTCACTTATCAATCATAGTACAACTTCTTGTGGATCATACATATAAATACAAGAGGTCGTGTTCAGGAGCAAAAAAAAAAGTGGCTAGCAATTATTTAGACTGGCTTGATTGTTCTTTGCTTCATTTTCATTTATGAAATCTTCTAAGCCCTTCGCCTTTCAGAGTTCGACTACTGCTAGTACTACTAGACGCGCTAGCACTATCAATTTTCTAACATCACAACAGCATCTATTTTTTCCAAGGACAATGCAGAGAAAAATTAAAAAAGTATGTGTTTGCTGATCCACGACACCCACGTTTTCACAATTTGAGTTTCACCTCCTGAAAAACCTATTTACTACTAGCCCCGCTTCCTCTTGATCCTCCTTGATCATCTCCGCCACGAGGCTCTCTTATATATAGTACTAGCGTAGGATGGCTACTCTCCTGCCGCAAAGCGCTGGGCCTCAGCCTAAGCTGCTCGCGCAGGAACTTCACCAGAAGCATGGCTCGCCTGCTTAGCCTCTTCCACGGCTTCCTGGGCATGTGCTTGCGCAGCAGCAGGCCGTGCGGCAGTTTCAGCTGCAGCGGCTTCGGCGTTATCATGCTCTTCAACCTTTGCTCTTCGCTCAGCTCCCTCGGCACGCGCTCGCGCCTCATGCACCTGTGCTTCAGCATCAGTGAGAGCTCCCCTAGTTCCAGTCACTCCCACAGGAGCCTCGACTTGGGCACGCTCATTCTCATCACGGAGGTGGTCATTAGCTCCACGATCAGCATCAACAACTTGCTGGGCCTGCTCGGCCTCACGCTTGGCGTCAGCTGCACTCTTGCTCACGGCAGCAAGCTGCTCCGTCGCGTAACTTGCAGTAGCTGCAGCTGCACGCTCAGTTTCCTCGGCGCGCTTTTTCTGAGCAAGAAGCTCTTCTTCAGCAGCACGCTTGGCCCCAGCAACAGCACGCTTGGCTTCAGCAACAGCAAGCTTGGCCTCTTCAGCCTGGCGCCCGGATTCCGTGGCACTCTTTTGCGCGGCAAGAAGCTGTGCGTTAGCAGTAGTGAAAGCGCCTTCAGCGGCAGCACGTTTCTCTTCGGCCTCCTCTGCTCGCGCAGCAGCTTCGGTAGCTGCATCTTTGGCCTCGGCGACCTGCTTTTGTGCAGCTTCAGCAGTTTCTCTCGCAGTGACTGCAGCGGCAGCAAGCGCACTCTCGCTTTCGCGCTTCATTGCATCTGCGCGCCCCTTCTCAGCAGCAAGCTCAGCTTTAGCAGCAGCTTCAGAAGCTTCAGCCGCGACACGACCTTTCTCGGCCTCAGCTGCGGCACGCTTCGTCTGCTCAACCTCTTCCACGGCTTTCTCCGCATGTGCTTGCGCAGCAGCAAGCCGTGCGGCAGCTTCAGCTGCAGCGGCTTGGGCGTGAGCCTGCGCCTGCTCGGTTTCATGCTGAGCTTCGACTGCACGCTCTTTCTCATCATGCAGCTGCCGCAGAGCTCCCTCGGACCGCGTGTGCTCAACACTCAGCTTCTCTAGCGCAGCATCACGCTCCCCTTCAACGGCAACAAGCGCCGTCTCGGCAGCATTACGCAGTTCGTCGGCCTTTGCAGCACGCTCCCTCGCATCAGCTGCATCCTGAGCACGCTCTTTCTCGGCAGCAAGCCGCTTCTCAAGATCAGTCTTAACATCAACAGCGGCAGCACGATTGGCCTCTGCGGTGCGTGCTCGTGCGTTAGCATCCTCGACATGCTTTTGCGCATCAGTAAGCTTTTTCTGGGCATCACGGGCATCATCTTCAGCGGCAGCACGTTTCTTTTCGGCCTCCTCTGCTCGCGCAGCAGCTGCAGCAGCGGCATCTTTGGCCTCGGCGACCTGCTTTTGCGCAGCTTCAGCAGTTTCTCTCGCAGTGACTGCAGCGGCAGCAAGCGCACTCTCGCTTTCGCGCTTCGTTTGATCTGCGCGCACCTTCTCAGCAGCAAGCTCAGCTTTAGCAGCAGCTTCAGAATCTTCAGCCGCGACACGACCTTGCTCGGCCTCAGCTGCGGCCCGCTTCGTCTGCTCAGCCTCTTCCACGGCTTTCTCCGCATTTGCTTGCGCAGCAGCAAGCCGTGCGGCAGCTTCAGCTGCAGCGGCTTGGGCGTGGGTCTGCGCCTGCTCGGTTTTTTGCTGAGCTTCGACTGCGCGCTCTTTCTCATCATGCAGCTGCCGCAGAGCTTCCTCGGCACGCGTGTGCTCAGCACTCAGCTTCTCTAGCACAGCATCACGCTCTTGCTCGACAACTTTTAGAGCATCTTCAGCGGCAGCAAGCTTAGCCCTCTCTTCAGCCTCACGCTCAGCTTCAGCAGCACGTACAGCCTCAGCATGCTTCGCTTCAGCTTCACGTTCTTCAGACTTAAGACGCTCCGCTTCAGCTGCAGCACGTGCAGCTTCAGCTGCATGCTCAGCTTTTTCACGTTCAGCTTCCGCTTCAAGACGTTCAGCTTCAGCCACAGCAGCGGCGCTCGGGACTCCCATCAGAGAAGACCACACACCAATGATGTGTCCGATCACTTTGGCAAGGGGTTCAGGGCATATTTCAATCAGCCCGTCTTGTTGTCCGGCAGAATAACCATGAAAAGGACGCTCTCTCTCAATCTTGAGACCATTCAGATGCGTGCCCGCGTTCGTGGTGCTGCTCAAGCGCTCCAGCATGTTCCCGTCGATCTTCAGAACAGCGTCCACGCCTCCGTGTAGGATAGACTGGCCGGGCGCTCCTCGGTCTGGATCGACAAGTACTGTAAAGAAAGAACCGAGAATCCTGTCGGCAAGAATGCTTACGGGGTCCTCGAAGGCTTAGAATCAAGCACAGCATTCTATAATTTACCGTAGAACTACAGCAAGAACAAGTTCTCTTTCATTTTAACTTGCTCTTTGAGGAATCTACAACTCGTCACGGGGACTATGTAAACTGTCGAGACCAACATTATACCACAAGACAATGTAAAAAGAACAAATGCTAATAATTAATGCCGAAGAAGGTACTCAATCTTGAAAAAGTGAAATTAGTAGAGCAGCCGTCATAAGTCTCCTCGTCGCCGGTGTGTGGTTTGCCGCCGGAGGCAAGATCCTTGGCTACCACGTCGGCTACTTTACTCACTCCATGCTGCACCCAGCTTCGGATCGTCTCAGGCAGTGATGTGTCCCGCAACTGCGGATCCTTTTTCGCAGTGATATATGTAGACATACGCATCATGAAGTTAGCGAATATGGATGCGAAAAGGATGCTCTCACTGTTGCGCGCAAGTTTGATGATCTTCGCGAGATCCTCCGTCTTTGGTCCTCCACCATGATTAGAATTTCTAGAATCATAGCATTTTTTCAACATCCTCAAGAATGGTTCTTGAGTGCCAGGCGTGTTCTTGTGTCTCTTCGTCGTCCCTGAAGAAGACGAGAGTGAGTCTGAGTCCTCGTCAATTACTTACGTACAACTAAGTATATGAGAAGTTCACGCCTTTTGACTCAGCGGGACCATGGATCACGCCAGGCAGCAGATGATGAAAAACTCAACTACTAGTCTTAATTGGAGCAGCACTGGAGCAACCTCCCAGGCGCTCGCACTCGCCGTTCATGACATCAACAACCGTCTTATAATACGTCTTCTGATTTGTGTTAACGTTCTGGCCGCTGTTGAGGTCGTAGAACTCTGCACTTACATCCCAGAAACGTGGATCGCTCGGCGAATCAGGCTGGTCGTGGGGATCATGCTGCTGCGTCTCCCGGACGACCGGAACAGCAAGCTCACCCAAATACTTGATCGTCTTATCAACGTGTGCTAGAATCGCACTAGGTGCGTCAGCCCAGGGAAATGGCATCGTTCTGTCGGATACGCAAATGGAGCTCCGACCTGTCCAAAAGTTGAAGCCAGCCAGCATCGGCTTTGACGGGGCGTCGCCCTCTTTCAACATAGCTTTATTAAACTCCGTTAGGGTTTTCACGTTGTCAACACCCAGAAGGCTCGTCCTGGACTTTCGTTGTTCATCGCAGAATTCCGTTAAGAGCTTCGACTCTTCCGCAGAGGGAACTCGTGTGTCCGCCGACTCTATTATCAGGTGGCTCCTAGATGAATCCCCGTGCGACGAAAGCTGCACCGCAGTGTACTGGAAGCCTTCCAACAAGTCGGCTGGGTAAGACTTCGCAAAAATTGATTCCCGCAAAGAAAGGAGGGACTGCGCCTGAACCATATTGTAACCTCTATAGCAAGTTGCCTGTTCTTTCTGGTGACTCGAGACGGAACTACCCTTCAACTCCTCTGGAGGGTCCGGACTGAAACGGATCTGACGGTTGCAATTTTGCACGACGGCAGGCATGCTGCACTTGCTCTGTGCTTCAAGCTCAGTGCTGCAATATTCGAAGGGTGGTGGGTCGTCGGACGACTCCTTGACCGTCTGGAGGGCCACTGCGTTGAGGTTCCAACCACACATCGGATCAGCCAAAAACCATGTGGCGTCTCTACCCAGTGCAGATTCTAACCAGCTGGCTGAGAGCGCGTGAATATCGATGTGAAAGCCGAAGCGGACGATTTGCGGTTGCCCCAGCTCGAAGCCCATCCTCTCGACGGGATTACTCGACCAAATGAAGTGGCCAGTAGTGGCAGTGCAACTGGGAATTTGCAACAGGTGCGGATGTCGGTACTGAGAGGTGCCACCAGGAGGGTCAATCTCGGGGCCCTGAGGTAGTCTGCTGGGCTCTCCGAATAGTGCATGAGGGGTAGGCTTGTGCACGTAAGCTGCCGCATGCTCGAAGTTGAAAATGCGCAGATGATTTGGGTCCCGAGTTGAACCCCAGGGGCCACTCCAGCCCATGCCTCGCACGATCGCATCGCCATGGGCTATCTGTGCATAGTAATGGAGCTGCTGAAGGCACTCACGGAGCTGCCCAAATAAGGCCGCAGCATCCGCGCCCTTAGTGTCGTCTTGCTTCAATGGGTTAACCTTCTCTGTCACGTAGTAGAGGTGTGTGCCAGTAGATGACACCCACCACGAATCGACACGAGCAACGCAGCGTCCCTCGGTGCGTGGGTCCTTGACGTTTTCTGCTCTTTTCGGGGGCTGCATCTTCACAGCGAACCAGTACGCGAGCCAGTGCAAGAAAATTTCATCAGCAACTTCCTCATAATGATTTACGCCACCAGTGAGCAATGGAATCACCTTCGTCTGACAGTTCCATTCGTACACAAGCGCTTTTTCATGTTGTGGATCCCACAGCGGACACGTTGACTCATAAATCGGGATGTCCATGCTCTTTCCGTGACCCAATGGCAGAGCCTTACCCTTGATTTGCAGTGCCTTACCCCCAAGAATGTCTGCACTATTCGTCTCGCCTGGGACCAGCAGAGCGAATTGAGCTTCCGGATCAGTATCAGAACGGAACTGCGTCATTTCTGAGGCGAGAAATCCTCCATAGTACGGCACACCCTTGTGGAGGCCTTCGGTTCCCATGCCCCTGGTGACCATTTCGCCGCCTACCAGGTCCGACAATGGGTGCTTCTCGTCGTACATTTGCGCCGCCTTTTTCATGCAATACTGCGTGATCCACTCTAAGAAGTGCTTGGGGTCGTTCGTGTTTTTAGCCTTGTTGAGATTCGCTAGAAGGGAGTGACTCTTTTGTAGCAGGGGCGTCATTGGTAGGTCAGCAAGTTCTAGGAAAGTTCCATTCAGGACATTCTCCTCCATCGTGTTCGTGGCCGGGTCATGGATGCAATTTAGAGAAAACAGAAAAGATCATGCATCAGAAAAATGAGGATACATCCATGCGATGGGGGTCACAGTAATGAGGATGATGGTGATCCTGAGGACGCTGGTAACGGTCGTCACGATGATGAGGATGGTGACAACATCTTCATACAGTAGATACACCCTCAGTAGATATAATAAACTGGACATCAAGGACAAGAAGACGCATTACGTAAATTACGGTCGTACACGTTGCTAATTCTATTTCTACCCAAATTACTAAGACGCATTACCCAAATTACTAATTCTATTTCTAGTCGCGCAACGTGTACGATGAATATATATCAAGAAGTTGTTGATAAACTGAAAACTGAAATCTTTTACAACAAGAACTAATAAGCGACATCAAGGTATATCTAGGACTTTTCAAAGTCTAAACTTCTAGATAGAAGAACTAAACAAAATAGAAAATAGTTCTTCTTACAAGAGCTAGGCCTTAACAGCGACGGCAACTGGTCACGATTCACGCCTTCGCCAGTAAACTCGATCTCTTGGCTTCGAGAGTCGTCGTTTCGCTGCAAAAAACCGCGTGCCGAGAAAACAACATCATCTGAAGTAGATAGATTACGTTTACGGTTCCGAAGATTGATTGATTGATGTGCCTGGCATGAGGTCATTGTTGGAAGCAATAATAGTATCCGAAGGAAGCGATAATAGTCCGAAGTCATTGTTGGAAGAAAAGTAAGCAATAGTAGTATCCGAAAACAACGACTACTAGTAGTACTAGTTCTAGTACTGTAGTCATAAGTAATATAAATCAGTAGACAATAACATACTAATGACTCACAAGAATAGAGGAGGATCGTAGGTCAGCGCGTCTTCTCCTGCAGACGAGAACACGATAGTGAGATACTCGTGTGGTATTATAGGATGATGGAGATGGGATGCTCGTGTGGTATAGGATGATAGATCTTTTCTAGTCTATTAGAGCCAGACTCTCCGCTATACCAGGAGTAGAAATAAGCTCATTTTTACCTGGGTCTATCAAGAAGTTCGAGTTCATGGTTAACAGGAGGTATCCAACTTCCAGCTCATGAACGGGCATCCAAGTTCTATTAACAGAGCAACTTATAGGGGTGCCAGATCCAGGATGGGATGGAAAGGGGGTCCATCCGATCCATCCAAGTCCATCCTACATCCGTTCTATAAACTACTCTATATTAAGATCAACGGGTATCCAAGTTCTATTCCATTAACTGGGTCTATCAAGAAGTTCTAAATCATGATTTTTAACGGGAGGCATTCAAGTTCGATTTCATCAACGGGAGGTGTCCAAGCTCTAGTTCATGATTAACCACGGGAGATATCCAAGTTCTTCTAGTTCATACATTAGGTGCAATACCAGAAGCAGACTCGTCGTTCTCATGATCGTAAAGCTGCAGTTGCTCTTCCGCTTGTCCTCCAGAACCAGAATCCCAATAATAATTATTAGAGAGGTCGTCTTTGACAATACACCTACAACACCAGGCGCTAAATATGATGACTGAAACCGGAAAAGACCAGGATCCTTATATTCTCTCAAACAAATATTACCATGAGTAGGGACAAGAATGACTACTTATATAAATGCATAAACTTCGGATCCGCAACAGCACCTCCGACACTCGAGGAAAGGTCCGCCGTCTGTCCAGCACTTGCTCCATGCGAGGAATCCTTGTCCGCTGTCGACCAATTGTTTTGGAAAAAAGTGCTGTTCCTCGAAAAGAGCCCGCGTGGTGCGAGACCCAGGACGCCAGTGGTGCAGGAGGTACCAACGCCCACAAGTCGGAGCAACGAAGATCGCATCCGCATTTTGCCTGCTGAGGTCGTGGGAGGTGGCATCCGCATTTTGCCTGCTGAGCTCGAGGGTGGCATCCGCATTTTGCCTGCTGAGCTCGAGGGTGGTCGCATTCTACCTCCTGCGTGGTAGATGTTGTAGTACTAGTTGTTGTTGGGAAGGACCACAATGAAGTAGAACCAATTAATTGCTGGGACGGAAAATGACGTACAAATAGCTAGGAGTTAACGTTAAGAGATCCTTTTGCGACCAAGAATTATCCTAATGTTTGCGCTGTGGCAAGAAGAGAAAGCTTGGAAGACAAAAGGGCAGTTAAATGTATGGCTATGGGAAGATGACGAGTACTACTATGTATATGCCTAATCCTAATCTTCCTTGTTTATCGAAATGAGAAGATTGACTCTTGTTTTTTGAGCAATAAGGAAGTCCTAGAGTCATCACAGGAGCGAGAGTGACGAAAGAGGAACAAATAATTGCTCTACTAGATGAGTAGTATAATTAGGCGTACGTCTACGATAACGATTGCGATAAACAAATTCAAGAATACAACTGGGATGAAATTCAAGAATACAACTGGGAGGCAAATTGAAGAATATTACAATTGGGATGAAAATCTAGAATACCATAGACAACATGGGGATGAACATGAAATCCTAGAAAATATCTTCAGGGGGATGCGTTTTCAGGGTTCGAGGCGTGACAATTGATGATGTTTTTCCGAAGAAAAGCGTCTATCAGCTGTGTTAGGTTCGTTTGATGATAATTTATGTCTATTAATTACAGAATTGTTACACGCTTCTATCTAACAGAAACAGAGTTCTTTGTCATGGAAAAATCCTCAACGCCTCTTCTTCGCTCCGTTTTTCAACAGAGTTCTCTTCACGACCGCTCTGAAAACAGAGCGCTTACTGGCTCTCGCAGACTACACTCCAACTACAGAGTTCTTCTTCACGACCGCTCTGGAAACAGTCAGAGTGCTTCTGCTTACTTCTCCGTCTCTGATGACAGAATCGCCGAGTCGTTGATCTTCATCATCTCACAGAAGATATTTAGCTCGCGAAGGACTGCATTCATTCATTCACTCATTTACCTCTTCGTGAGGTGTCGCACACGCCGCACAGTACTTTAGTCATATCTTCGAACATGTATTTTACTTTACGTGACTCACTCGAACACCAGTCAGGATATCATGAGCGGCTCAGCTACGCTGTCTTCTGGCCGCTGTCTTCTGACTGACGTCTTGCATGCTAGGTTAATTTCGGAAGGAGATTGAATTTCGACGTGATGCACGCTTTAAAAGTTTTGTCTACTGTACAACTCGTAGTAGTGTGTCACTTGTCTGTACTCGTAGAAGTAGACTAGAAATGGAGGTGGAAGAACGTTTGCCTTGTTCTAGTAGGACGAGGTACTCAGAATCATATTTAGGAAATATAATTAAGAAAGTACTCAGAATAATTCTGTTTCGCAGCAAGCAAGAGACTGCAGCACGCTTCCTTCTAGGAAAGTGAATCGATATTTAGTCTGCCGCTCAAAGAACAACTTAATTGGCAATTTTTTTGGATAAATATTTATTGAAGTTGTAGAGGAGTTAATTTCTAAAAACAGGCTAGACATGTTGCCGAATAGATTCAATTACTACCTAGTACTCTGTAGTCTGTGCACAAGACCTGGATCACGGTCATAGAATGAAGCTCGCAATTGAACGCCTTCGATTCATGTTTTAAGAGGAGCCATCTTCATGCAGTAGAAGTAATATGTATACTATAAAAGTACATATTAAAAAGTCTACAGTTGTCGTTGTGACAAGGCTAAGTCGTCTACAGCGATCATAAGGCACAAGCTCCTATGGCTGACATGCCTTTAGTACGACGACCTACGAAGAGAACTGCTATTCTTGATCATCAGAATCTTACTACGGCCTTGTTTCCTCATCAGTAACGACCTTGTTTCCTCAACAGCTTACGACCAAAAATTCCAACAAGTGGTCATTTAATTTCAGCATCATGTTGCACGACTCCTTCTTAGAAGGCGTAGTACAACTGATGTCTTGGTCTTCACCTACGTACTAAAACTAAGTAATATTCTTCACGCTCTCGGTTAAAAAACAGAGGACCATGATGATCGAAGTGATGCACCATATATCGACGTTTTTACATCAGCATGATATAGTTAGAGGACTCTGTTGTTCCTAGTCCTAGTATTCATTCTGCGTTCCCTTTTCAACAATAAATTTTTCAAAGATCTTGTTCTACTCATAATTCATCTGTGTCGGTGTGTTCCCCTTCGCTGTTGTTCCCTTCTTAATAAAAATAGTAAAGTATCTTGTCCCTTTATTTCTGCTTTTCAATAATGTTCTTGTATCATTTCTCTAAAGTCGTCTCTCTATAATTTCGTTCGCCTCACTCACTCTAGTATGTTCCCTTTTTTGCTGGCCACAAGGTGGATCATCTCGCTTTCAGCTTCTACTTTATTTCACCTTTCTTGTTGTCTTCTGATCCATGTTGACGTATAACATAAAAGTATAAACCTCGAAGTCCCCTTTTCTAAATACTCTTCTACTCTGGAACTACGCCTCTGGAACGGGGGTTCCTTTGGAGATCACTTGGTCCTTGGCAATCTGGCCTTTAGCGCCACCCACTAAATTTTGCACGCCAGGCCCGCCTTTTCCTTTGACTACTACACTGGTAGCCGCTCCAACCAACATGTTAGAAGAAGTAGAAGTGGAAGTAGATCGTAGTTCTTCATCATGATGTTAGTCGGTTCGGATTGGACCTACGACTTAGCTGAATCTCTTTTGAGATCATAGCTCTAAGTGTACTAGTTGTAAAAGTAGTTTTCGAAAAACTGAAGCAGATAGTGTAGATCTAGAGGTAAAAAGTAGACATTGTACTAGAAGTAGACAGGGCAAAGTCATGTGGTGGAACTAGTAAGACTAAGAAGTATAGTAGACTGAAGAGAAGTAGTGCAGCTACAGATAGTGTACTACTTCGAAACAGGTAGACAAGGCAGAGAGAAGCAGTGTAGGTAGAGAGAACAAGCAGTTGCAGCAGTACTCTGGATTAGACATAGTAGCAGCAGTAATGTGGGCAGAGCGAAGCACTTCTTGTAGGAGTAGACAGGGGGGAAGCATTTTAGCGGCTTGCGCTTGTATCAAATACATCTTCATGAATTCTCCTAGCCGTATAATAAATTGATAATAGTCGTATCTTAATTAGCAAGAAAAATAACTTTAAAGCCAAAGATTTGACGAACTTGGTGAGGAGGTTGAGAAGCTTTCAGCTCTCAGCTGCTCCTAAAAATAAAATTATGAATGTTGACTCGTAACATTTGATGCGGGCGATGCGCGTGTACGCGGAGGGGCGCCGATCTTAGCTTGAAGTTTGGACGCAAGCAAATCTTGCATGGCATCTACCACCTCCACCTTCCTCAAGGCATGATCCAGCTTGCTTGAGACACGACCGCCGACCACTGTGGTATCGTTCCTGCGTCGATCTAAGAGGAGAGGCGCAAAGAGCCGATCACGTTCCGGAATCAAATATGAGCGCTGGAACCGCGGTCCTAGACCTGGTGAAGACGGTGATGTGATCAACTTGCTCAGAACATAAACAAAAGAGGGCTACTTCTTTTCTATGGTACTAATATACTGGAATTTGAAAAGGATGCTTCTCTTCTATGGTATACCCCGCAGGCCGAGATGATCGTCCCTTGTTTATATTTTGATCCGCGCTGACCAAGAAAGAGGAGCTACAGCCCACGAACGAGCAGCTAGATGACTCAACAAACCGTAACAAATTTGAAGTTGTTAAAGTAAGTAAGAAGAACAGAAAAAGCATGTTCGCCTTCATCAATTGTAGCAAGTCACGCAAAATATATCTGATACTGAATGTGAGCGAGAACTTAGTTAGTAAACAAGTGAGGGACTAGCGATAAGACGTATCTAAACAACAAATGCAACATCAAGTATTAAGTACTCTGGTCTCTGGACAGTTTTAACTATATCAAAACAAAAAGAGCACATTTGTAGTCCTCTCGTACTACAACAGGGAAAGGTTCTCTAGCACCTCCACTAGTAGATAATGTACCAGCAAGATTGTAGCATTGTGCTCGAACTGAGCCGGATCGGTGTCCCTCGCGAAAGATGTTTTAGAGCTTGAGGGATAACGATATTTCCTATACAACAAGAGGACGAAATCATCTCATAGACTGGAATCCCTACGCAACCATAGGTCACCGTATTCAGCATTGTAGTTTATGCTCCACTCAGCACGCACTTCTATAAGATCCCTAGACTTCTATCTCTGTGTATAGGGTGGATGGATCAACATTACATTATTTTACGATACTTGAGCGATGATCTTACCTATGCTGCACTCGGTTCACGATGTTTTGCCAGCACTTGGTAGAAGGACTGGGATTTTATTCATTCATTGCGTCTCAAGTGATCATATCTAATCACCGGCAAGACGAAACATTTACTGGGAAGAGAAGATACTCTTCTTTTTCATAATGAAATAGAAGTCATGGCATTACTTCTAGATAACTATGGAGACAGATCCTCACTACTAGATAACTACCTAGCCAGAGTAGAGAGGACTAATGATCTACATAATACTTCTACGAGTAAAAAAGTAAGCCTTAAATGTTGGTGCCACTATGCACTGTCAAACGCTTTCCCTGGAGACGCTCAACATGTCTTTGCTTCTCGCGTCGGCATTTCTGCCGTTCTCGTTCGACTAAACGGGCGTGACGCCGGGACCCAGCATACCAGCAGCGAGCGATGTTAGAGGTACACTACGAGGTAGGAGATCCGCAGCTCATAGAGGAGGAACTGGATTACGAGATAGATCCGCAGCTCATAGAAAAGGAGGAGGAGGAGGAGGAGGACTAGAACCATACTACTAGATGAAGCACAGGACTGATAATCATACCCTAGGATCATGAGTAGAGCTCATAGGACTACTGCTATGTAGAAGACCTGGCGTAATACAGCTATAATAGTAGAAGAGCGTATAGTAGAGCTATTAGGCACAAGCAGGCACCTGGACGGGGGCGCAGGCGGTCCCTTGGGCCCCTTTTGAAGCCTCCCACCACCATCCGAGGCCCCTAGGGAACAGTGAGGCAGCTGGAAGGGAGCGGAGGGGGGAGGTCACTGGGCCCCCTTTTGAGGCCTTCCCCCCCGGCAGACGCCTTAAAAAGGGGGGCAGGGCGCCCGCCCCCCCCCGCTAGGGGGGGGGCGTCGCCCCGCGCCCTGAAACATATATAATAGAAGAGCGTATAGTAGAGCTATTTTTACGACTAAGCTATAAAGGTAGAAGAGCGTATAGTAGAGCTATTAGGACTAAGCTATAAAGTTTGACATCATCCTTTAAGTGCTTGCTTTTCTTCAGACAGAAAAAGGCGTCGAAAAACTTAAATGACATGCTACGAAAGTAGTTACTTTAGAGCTAGAGGTGGGCTATTAAAACTCTAAATCAATTTGGCGCTATTCTTGAATTACTTGCTTCTTCTAACGTCTGGAGTACTAGAAGTTACTTCTGTGTTCTAGAAGTTACTTCTGTGTTCGCTTCTTCGATAGATCTACTCCTAAATCCACCTAGTAAATCTGTATTAATTGATTTTCAAACATTTTGCACTAGTTCTTGCCATAACAAAAACCGTATACTGGTGCCAAACCGCGATCATCAAAGGAATCTCCAAAGCGAGTTCTAGCAGCAGAAAAAGCAAATACGGATTCCACGGCATCATCTGGAAAGGTCGACGCCATAGCGCCAAGATTAGAACAGGTAGGTGAAGCTACATTGCTGGTTGAATTTTCTCGTAGCTTAGTTGCATTGATGGATTGACTGACTGATTGATGTGCGCGTACCCCTGATAGGAAGGTACTGCTCCTAGAAGTACCCGTAGAAGAGATAAGTTCTCATAGTGATCATGACCGAAGCCAAGACGCTGACAGATCAGGCATCATGTTGAAAATTCATTCGAACAAAATCAGTCTGAAGATCGTAGTTTAGTGAAAGCACAGACGGTTAGTAATTTCAACGTGTGCATATAACTATTAAATTCATCTACTTCTATCAGTGATTTAGAATTACTAGATGCAGATATACTGAAGATATTAAACTGACAAAGTAGTCGCGTAGTCTACTACTGTAAGCAACGTCTACTCGCGTTGCTTTCCTACAATCGACAACAGTTTTATCTCTTTTTATTTTCTAGAAAATACACTAGACCAACTACAAGATGTAGATCTTGATCAACTAGATGCGCTTTCCACGACTCTTTCTAGATCTTGACCTACTAGATAATTTCCTCAAAAAGTAGATCTACTACAGATGCACCCTACTTATTATGTAGTAATTCCAGGAAAGTAGATCTACTAGAACATCTAGTTGCACCCTTTCGTCCTACTACTAGATGCACAACCCTTTCCTTCTACTAGATGCACAACCCTTTCCTTCTATTACTAGATGCACAACCCTTTCCTTCTATTACTAGATGCAGCAACCTTTCCTTCTACTACTAGATGCACTTCATCTCTTTCCTTAAAAAGAACGCCTTGGCTGCCAAGATACCGGTAGCTCCATAGAACGCACGAAGGTCGAACTGGTACAGTGCAGTTCCTCTTTCGCGGAAAAAGCCGGCAAGAATATCAAACTCGCCAGGCATTTTTGCTTGAATTAGCACAGGGGTTCTAATTCTATCTTCTAAGATTAAGATCATCATGAAACAACATACTAGGCCTTAGATCATTGAAGATGCCTTTTCTAGGTTTCTATCATAAAACTTGGAAGGTCACTGAAGATTAGGGGTTTTATCTTCTAAGATCATCATAAAACTTGGAAGGTCACTGAAGATTAGGATATATTAACGATCATTGAAGATTATATGGTCAAGAAAATGGATGGTCAAGAAAAACAAAGGATCATCGACATAGGGATACGCATAAGTCTGTTGAGCTGCAATCATACACTTGTAGTTGTATGGTTCTGGTATTTGGTAGCCTGAGTTTGATCATAAGGGTTCTCTTCTTGTTTTCCCTTATGATCAAATTCAAGTTACCAAATACCGGATTCCGGTATTTGGTAATGGTTCCGGGAACCATTCAACACTAGGTACATAGAAGATACTACTGTGGAAACGGAAGTATAGAAGTAGGCATAGGCTCCTACTAATATAATGTAACTTGTTTGGGCTGCTCGCTCCTCTGAAGACATGAGTTGAGGGTGTTCCATTGCGACCAACAGGATTATACGAGCCGTAATTCTCTGAGCGACGCTGCCCTTGATTGGGACGCCCAGCCCCACCTTGTTCGCAAGGATTTGCCGAAGATGAGGGCACAGTGTAAGGAAAACATCGCGCGTTCCATAGCTGGTGGCTGGCCCAAGAGTGGCACGGTCGTCAACATTAGAGGAGGTTGATTATGATTGATTTTGATTGATGTGCCAGTGCCTCGCGAGAGGTTGAAGATCTAATTGCTTGCATCTGAAGTGAGAGCTTTCATCCTGCCTTGTTAGGTAGAAGTTATATCAGAGAGTTCTTCTATCATTGGTTAGTACCATCTAGGTCTAGATCAAGTTACCTATTCGCGAAGCGATCATCTTCAGTTTTCCTGTTAGTTGTATTTTGTTCATCTTCATCAATATGTAAGTGAGGCTCTCTACTAGTCCTCGTCGAGTACTCTTCTTTAGGCTCTTCATCTTGTTTGACATCGTTTCTCCTTAGAGAAAACGAACGCACTATATATAGTATCTAGATCATTAGAAGAACAAGCCATAAAAACCACGTCACGCCAAAAATGAAAAAGCTCGACAGGCACACAGACACGTAACTGATGTGGAGGCGGAAGTTGCTTCACTTACTTAGGTGAGGCGAAGGTGAGAAGGTCCTCTACTTAGACACGTAACTGATGTGGAGGTGAGAAGTAGGCGGTCCTCTACTTAGTAGAAGAACTCAGAAACAACAAGTAGTTGCAGGGTAAATCCAGAATCTTAGAATCAAAAGCATGAGCAAACAAGAAGTAAATTAGACCTGCTGAAAGTACCTGCTGAAACGAAAGACTCTATAGTCGGAGAGGTCTAGAGTAATGCGTGCAGCGTGGTCCGTTGGGTCGATCACGTGTTTCATTGTGAGCGGCTCTGAGGCCATGATGCCTCCGATGGAAGCCACCTTTTTCTCGATGATCGACATATATTGCGCTACTTTCCCTTTCACGCCACCGATATTAGAAACATTCATAAATATTGTACTTGGAACTTCTCCTTTCAGAAGAGTCGCTGGTGAAGAAAGTGGTTTAGGCCGGTCATCTAGTCTTTTGTTCTTTGAAAGCATCAAATTCAAATTATTTCCACAAATAGAATCACCAAGACTTCTAAATAAAACAGATGAGGCAACACATCCCTATCACTACTTACAATGTAGGAAAGGGATCGATCTGGGTCAATCATGCCTCATTGAGTTATCAGATAAGTCAATCAACTACATTGCTTCGTCTAGCACAAGAGATTGTATCTACTTCTATTTTTTTTGATGTACTACAAAGTTGAATGGATTAAATACAACATTCCTCTACATGAAGTATGAAGAAGATGAAGGACCACCCTCACCAGTATTAATTCAGCTATTCTAAATTTAAACTGAAATCATAAGCAAGAAAGTAATACTCATAGTTACTTAAAACAAACGAAATCATACTGAAAGGAGAGCAACGGAGCCATTACTCATTCAGGAGTCCTGATTTCCCTACAAGATTTGTCTTTTTGTTACCTGCTGGGTCTATACTTATCTATGACTAGTGGTAGGACTAGTTCTCTCTTGTTCAGTAGTAACTAGTAGTCCTAGTTCTCTCTTCAGTTGTAGTAACTAGTACGTAGTACTGGAACAACTTTCCTTCACATAACAGCACCTTGTTCCTGCTCTTCAGCTGCGGCGGCTTCAGCTTTGGCTTCTGCTTGGGAGGCGTACTTTCGTTTGTACCCCGACAACACGGAATTGCTATCTCCAGCACCATTGGCAATGCACAGAATCAGCAAGAAGTCGGAGATGAGCATNGTCATTGGTAGGTCAGCAAGTTCTAGGAAAGTTCCATTCAGGACATTCTCCTCCATCGTGTTCGTGGCCGGGTCATGGATGCAATTTAGAGAAAACAGAAAAGATCATGCATCAGAAAAATGAGGATACATCCATGCGATGGGGGTCACAGTAATGAGGATGATGGTGATCCTGAGGACGCTGGTAACGGTCGTCACGATGATGAGGATGGTGACAACATCTTCATACAGTAGATACACCCTCAGTAGATATAATAAACTGGACATCAAGGACAAGAAGACGCATTACGTAAATTACGGTCGTACACGTTGCTAATTCTATTTCTACCCAAATTACTAAGACGCATTACCCAAATTACTAATTCTATTTCTAGTCGCGCAACGTGTACGATGAATATATATCAAGAAGTTGTTGATAAACTGAAAACTGAAATCTTTTACAACAAGAACTAATAAGCGACATCAAGGTATATCTAGGACTTTTCAAAGTCTAAACTTCTAGATAGAAGAACTAAACAAAATAGAAAATAGTTCTTCTTACAAGAGCTAGGCCTTAACAGCGACGGCAACTGGTCACGATTCACGCCTTCGCCAGTAAACTCGATCTCTTGGCTTCGAGAGTCGTCGTTTCGCTGCAAAAAACCGCGTGCCGAGAAAACAACATCATCTGAAGTAGATAGATTACGTTTACGGTTCCGAAGATTGATTGATTGATGTGCCTGGCATGAGGTCATTGTTGGAAGCAATAATAGTATCCGAAGGAAGCGATAATAGTCCGAAGTCATTGTTGGAAGAAAAGTAAGCAATAGTAGTATCCGAAAACAACGACTACTAGTAGTACTAGTTCTAGTACTGTAGTCATAAGTAATATAAATCAGTAGACAATAACATACTAATGACTCACAAGAATAGAGGAGGATCGTAGGTCAGCGCGTCTTCTCCTGCAGACGAGAACACGATAGTGAGATACTCGTGTGGTATTATAGGATGATGGAGATGGGATGCTCGTGTGGTATAGGATGATAGATCTTTTCTAGTCTATTAGAGCCAGACTCTCCGCTATACCAGGAGTAGAAATAAGCTCATTTTTACCTGGGTCTATCAAGAAGTTCGAGTTCATGGTTAACAGGAGGTATCCAACTTCCAGCTCATGAACGGGCATCCAAGTTCTATTAACAGAGCAACTTATAGGGGTGCCAGATCCAGGATGGGATGGAAAGGGGGTCCATCCGATCCATCCAAGTCCATCCTACATCCGTTCTATAAACTACTCTATATTAAGATCAACGGGTATCCAAGTTCTATTCCATTAACTGGGTCTATCAAGAAGTTCTAAATCATGATTTTTAACGGGAGGCATTCAAGTTCGATTTCATCAACGGGAGGTGTCCAAGCTCTAGTTCATGATTAACCACGGGAGATATCCAAGTTCTTCTAGTTCATACATTAGGTGCAATACCAGAAGCAGACTCGTCGTTCTCATGATCGTAAAGCTGCAGTTGCTCTTCCGCTTGTCCTCCAGAACCAGAATCCCAATAATAATTATTAGAGAGGTCGTCTTTGACAATACACCTACAACACCAGGCGCTAAATATGATGACTGAAACCGGAAAAGACCAGGATCCTTATATTCTCTCAAACAAATATTACCATGAGTAGTGACAAGAATGACTACTTATATAAATGCATAAACTTCGGATCCGCAACAGCACCTCCGACACTCGAGGATAGGTCCGCCGTCTGTCCAGCACTTTTTCCATGCGAGGAATCCTTGTCCGCTGTCGACCAATTGTTTTGGAAAAAAGTGCTGTTCCTCGAAAAGAGTCCTCGTGGTGCGAGACCCAGGACGCCAGTGGTGCAGGAGGTACCAACGCCCACAAGTCGGAGCAACGAAGATCGCATCCGCATTTTGCCTGCTGAGGTCGTGGGAGGTGGCATCCGCATTTTGCCTGCTGAGCTCGAGGGTGGCATCCGCATTTTGCCTGCTGAGCTCGAGGGTGGTCGCATTCTACCTCCTGCGTGGTAGATGTTGTAGTACTAGTTGTTGTTGGGAAGGACCACAATGAAGTAGAACCAATTAATTGCTGGGACGGAAAATGACGTACAAATAGCTAGGTGTTAACGTTAAGAGATCCTTTTGCGACCAAGAATTATCCTAATGTTTGCGCTGTGGCAAGAAGAGAAAGCTTGGAAGACAAAAGGGCAGTTAAATGTATGGCTATGGGAAGATGACGAGTACTACTATGTATATGCCTAATCCTAATCTTCCTTGTTTATCGAAATGAGAAGATTGACTCTTGTTTTTTGAGCAATAAGGAAGTCCTAGAGTCATCACAGGAGCGAGAGTGACGAAAGAGGAACAAATAATTGCTCTACTAGATGAGTAGTATAATTAATAGGCGTACGTCTACGATTGCGATATACAAATTCAAGAATACAATTGGGATGAAATTCAAGAATAAAATTGGGATAAAATTGAAGAATACAATTGGGATGAAATTGAAGAATACAATTGGGATGAAAATCTAGAATACCATAGACCACATGGGGATGAACATGAAATCCTAGAAAATATCTTCAGGGGGATGCGTTTTCAGGGTTCGAGGCGTGACAATTGATGATGTTTTTCCGAAGAAAAGCGTCTATCAGCTGTGTTAGGTTCGTTTGATGATGATTTATGTCTATTAATTACAGAATCGTTAAACGCTTCTATCTAACAGAAACAGAGTAAGTTCTTTGTCATGGAAAAATCCTCAACGCCTCTTCTTCGCTCCGTTTTTCAACAGAGTTCTCTTCACGACCGCTCTGAAAACAGAGCGCTTACTGGCTCTCTCAGACTACACTCCAACTACAGAGTTCTTCTTCACGACCGCTCTGGAAACAGTCAGAGTGCTTCTGCTTACTTCTCCGTCTCTGATGACAGAATCGCCGAGTCGTTGATCTTCACCACCTCACAGAAGATATTTAGCTCGCGAAGGACTGCATTCATTCATTCACTCATTTACCTCTTCGTGAGGTGTCGCACACG